CTATTTATTTTTAAGTGACTCTAATGTCTTCATCAGAATTTCGGTTTGTAATTTTAAATTAATCATTACTTGGTTGTGCATCTACGAGGCTTCTCCAAAACTACTTGCTTTCTGCAACAAATAAGAGAATATTAATTTAAGCTCTGTCCATGCAAAACTTAAAATTTTTTATAATTCATATTATAAATTTTTTAACACATTTATATTAATATAATTATATAAATGTGTTAATAATATAATTTGTAGCACATGCTACAGACCTGGATAGCAACTTTCTTTTATTCTATTTAGAGATAGAGATAATTTAAATATAATACCGGTGTCTTCCTTGTAGGTTTCTTTGGAGTTGTTTGGGGATTCTTGTTGTTCAGTTCGACATGATTTTCTTTAACCTTTCTTTAATCCTACAAAATAATGAAATTGTTAAGTTATGTTGTCACTGTTGTGCACACCTTTGTTTGGCTTTTTTAGTATTCAAGTTATGTCAAAACTGATTTATTACCTTGTCATTGTTGGCTTTATTTGCTTTTGGGATATCAATTGTTTCCAAAATGATTTTATTTGTAATAACCTGAAATATATAAATAACATCTATTAATTTAAGTATCATGGTGAGTGGTTCGCACTCAGGTATTAAGGTGTATTATACCCACTGTCCATTATAAGTGGGAATGGGCTCACTTCTGGCAGGACAGAGTTTCGGTACTACAAGTGCAACATGGATGTTTTGAGGTATTACAATATCTCTAACTACCCTGTAGGGGAATAAAGTAATGTTGTAAGCATATGCCTATGCTTGAAAGGTTGAACCTTGAACATCACCATACATCATATTTATAATTAACATTCCTACCTCGACACCATCACAATCAAATTCATTGAAATCTACTTCAAACCATTGTGTCTCGAGAAGGTGATGGTGGCTTTGTTCCACCTCCAGTTTTTGATGTTTCACGGCGATAAGATGACAACTCTTTTTTTGTATTCAATTTAGTGCACTTCCACTGATTCATCAATTGTTTTTGTCTCTTGTCCTTATATTTGCTAGATTAAATCTGATGTTTTGATTAAATAATGTGGTCATTTTTTTTGAGATGCAGGTACTTATTAAAATGTTTACTTCTCTGTTATATCGCTCCAAGCCTTCATTTTCTCCTTATTAGTATTCGTGCTTAAATCTTTGTTCTCAATTATTGATATATAGGGTCGTAGAATATTTCTAAAAAGTTGCTGTAACAAACGCAATAAACAAAAGCAATGAATAATGGTTCATGTTTCAGTTTTAATCAACAATAATACTCGATAATACATACGGATAGTTAACCTCAATTGTATTGAAGCACTCAGGAAGGTTAGCACAGTTTTTTCACAAATATTTTATATTATTTCACAAATATTTTGTATAATGAAAATAACTAGGTATATAATTATTAATTTTAAACAATAATTAAAACTCCTATATTTGTTTAAAAGGTAAATGTCATTGTCAGATGTCAATTGTCATGGTCATTCAAAATTCTTGTTAAGCTGCTAAGCTAGAATATGCGTGAAGTTAGCTTCACGCATATTCTATTTCTTTTACTTGTAGTTTGTCTTATTCCCATCTCGCTCGCGCACGCTATATCACACTGCCAATTTTGTGTCATAGGTGCGCGCGCAATCGTAAAATTTCACTCTCATCAATTTTTCATAACGCGCCTAAAGAAGTACAACTTCAAAAATTATATAGCTAATCATAACTTAATGAATTATTAAACTTATACTGATAATAAACTTCCAATGAAAAATGTAATAGTTTAATATAATTTTTAACAATGGGTTCTTTGTTGCAGTAATCGTGAACCCAAAGGTTCCGCCGGGTTCCAAGGAGAGCGCAAAAAGTTTCAACTTTGATTTCTCGTATTGGTCGCATAACGTAAGTATTTTAGAAAATAAGTACCTTTTTCGCCGCTTGTTCTTTACATCCGCCATTTTGTTTTCAATAAATGCCTCTCCTGAACAGCGGAAATTGACATAATTCATGTTATATATGAGATAAATATGGTATGTATAGATATATATATGAGGAAGTTACTTCTTCGTTTTCAGTATAGATAGAGAAATAAGGTCAAATATTTCAAAGCTATTTGAGATTTAAGTTTATTAATAACTGCCCCCGCGAACTTCGTTTTGCCTTAATATGATTTTTTTTAATACACTATTTGCTTTTCCGAATTAAAACTGGTCTTGTTTTTCCGTGATTTTTTTCTAATTTTTCTCCGTAAAATCCTTCCTCAGAGTTCAAGGAATAATTAAAAAAAAATACTCGATTTGGTCCAGCCGCCTTCGAGTTTTGAGCTTAGTAACATATTTTTAGCGATTCATTTTTCTTTATAGCTAACTCAATTTATCCAATCTGTGAAATTGACTTTGCGTTGGTGAACAAAGAAATGTTGTAGTAACGATTCGTTTAAAATATAAGAGAAAATTGCTTCTATAAAAACTTCGCTATTAAGAAATACATCAGACTCCTAGACGTCTAGGGGTGGGTGGAATCAATAATCTCCACGACTCGAGTTCCCTCAGCAAATGGCGTCCAGAAAACTTAATTGTGCTGCGTCATGTTGTTTTTCCATTAAATAAATCTTGTTTTTGCATACTCGGAGATGTGTTATCCAACGACCTAATACCTATATTGTTGATTGTCTTTTGTTTTTGAACGTAGCTTTTGTTTTAAATTTTAAATTTATAGCACATAAATTTTTTAGATCTTGTGTTGCCCCAATTGTGGCAGACATGTTTCTGTGTTTGATTAATAGGTCCACTTTACCCTCTATGTCTTAGTTACTCGACATAATGACCAAATATATAATTTACGACCTACCACAATGTGATACTACTGGTGGCTGTTATATACAAACCATCTGTCTTAATCATGGAGAACGTTTATAATAAATTAATTGAATCGAGCATTGTTGGCCTAGTGGCTTCAGCGTGCGACTCTCATACCTCAGGTCGTAGGTTCGATCCCCGGCTGTGCACCAATGGACTTGCTTTCTATGTGCGCATTTAATATTTTCTCGAACGGTGAAGGAAAACATCGTGAGGGAACCGACATATCTTAGACCCAAAAAGTCGACGGCGTGTGTCAGGCACTGGAGGCTGATCACCTACTTGCCTATTATATTTAAAAAATGATCTTGAAACAGATTCAGAAATCTGAGAACAAGACCTAAAAGAGGTTGTAGCGCCACTGATTTATTTTTTTAATTAAATCGGGCATTATTAAGCTCTATATTGTATAAACGCGAATAAAATGAAAAATGTTTGCCGAATGAATTAAAAATTATGTAATAAATTCGTGTTAAAATACATTTCAGATGACAAAGAAAAAGTGTCCATTGTTAGATGGGTTTTGACATAACGGCCATATTGGATTTAAGTTTATCAAACGGATTACGGGATTAGTTATCTATGGTGTGAGGGTCGTGTTGTTTTCATTTGTTTTTTAAGGTTTCCTTTGACGGTAAATGACAGCTTGAGTTTTTACGCTCAAATTAATATTACATTTAATTTTTTTGTGTCAAGTACTAGAAATAATCTCGCCACATTTCAATTATTAGGATTTTCTACCATAGTGGCCTGGTTGAATCTCCAGCTCCTATTTTGGGCTTTTGCTTCCAGTCCCATGGGTCTATTTCACATTTTGTTACTATTATACCTTTTTGGAAAACATAGCTGGAATGAAAACTCAACCGGGGGAAAACTCATCCCCATGATTAGGCAGATAACCTGATCGTGATGGCTTAAAACGTTCTATTTCAACGCAATTTGTGGTTGTCAAGTTGGTGATTGTCAAATTGGTTCCTTAGATCCCCTTTGCGGTAGTAAAACCCAGGTTTACCCGTAGCATTGCTACACGACGGTAAAATGAGTAAAGCTTTCAAATAGACAATTTGAACCCTCTTCAACAAACCACAGACCACGATGCCATTTGATAATTAATTTCACTCTCCTCTCCCTCGATTGTCTGTGGTTGCGGAAATAGCGGCAAGATTGACCTGTTTAAATTTTAATTACGATTTCGATTTCACAGTATTGGAAAGTGATTAGTTTTAGATCACTGAGAACTAAACGAAATTGGGTATTGGCAAATGTCTGGTGTGCTCAAAAATAATGTGTAATTTGTTTGTAAATATTAAAGAGAGTAAATAGAAACAAGGTTATATACTTTATAGTATGATTGTTTTCTTCTACGATAGTATATTAATCAATCAAGCAGTTTTTGGAACGATTCATTTCAATTCGCTGAATCGATTTATAAAGTTTTTTTCACCATTAGAATTAGAATGGTACGTTATTCCAGACTAACATCTAGGCTATTTTTAATTATCTAAATATTTTAAAACTATGTCTAATTGCACTTGAAAACATTTCAATTGTCGATTAAAAATATAAATAAACTGTAGGCTGCAAATTATCCTTGGTGCCAGACTAAAGTACTTTTTGCCTATTTACGCTGTATTGCAAAGAGAACAGTTCTTTAGTTAACACGGTGCATTAGGGGCTATTTATCTTTTATTATAATAACAATAATAGTCTTTACTGCTGTAAAATACTTATCCTAGTACTTTAAAATGTGAAGTACTATGAACACTTTTAAATCAATCGGCAAGCCGGTTAATTTCTGTTTTACAGTTGTCCTTGGACAAAGGACTTCTCTAAGCTTCCACTCTTCTCGGTGTCTAGCTTTACGCTGCTCTACTTATATCATCTCCCCATCTTTTTATCTGTCTTCCTCGTTTTCTCTGTCATAGTGAGGAACCCATTCCGTTGCTTTTTTCGTATCTTTGTCTTCTCTCATAATGTGTCCTGTAAATTTCGATTTCAATCTTTTACTAGAAGTAACAGCATTTCTATACTTGGTCATGTCTTGTCTTCTTCTAGTTGTACTCTATCTTTCAATTTCAGACCAAGAACACTCTTATCGTTTATTCAAAAATAATACAAATAAAAGCCGTATGAAGGCGAACCGGCCGACGGTATATAAGATTCGTGCTTAATGATTCATGACATTACCACCAAGCTGTTCTGGTATCAAAAATGTTTATTCAAACAAGATGTATACGTATGTTTAGAAATGCGATTAGCATTCGTAATTAATTATGCATATTTATTTAAATTTATACGACTCGACTAATACAATAACAGAATGCAGTAATTTTATGAAAATGAAATTCAAGTTTAATTTCCTCCATTAATTTTAAAATTAATATTATTCGATTAATGTTTAGATTTTTAATTTTTATATTTTTAATTAAAACTCAAAATAACTTTATTCATATAGGTAAACAAGTATACTTATGAACGTCAGAAAAGAAGTTGAAATGATTGTAAATTTTTATTTACTACCAGTTCGCAAGTCAAGGGCGTAAAGCGGGTAAGAAAAACTGGCAAGAAACTCTTCGCCACTCATTTTAATCGCTAAGTTTTGAGTCAAGTCATTAAAGGGGATTTAAATGTTTTCTGTGGCAGTAAAATAATAGAACGATCCTTAAGGATCAGTATTAATACGGATTAGAAATCTCAAGTTTTATTTAGCTATAATATACTGAAGTTTTTATTTGTCTAGTGCCACAAATGTCGACTTATATTTGAAAAACTACGGTTTGTACTAATTTGCCTAATAATTAGTCCCGTAATGGTGTAACAGACATTTCGTCTCTTAAAATCTGTCGGACCTGTAACACCTACATTCTACCGTTACTAGTTACCTTCGGGCCAGTTACTTAGACTGGTCGAGGATCCTCCCTTGAGGTCGAAGGGACTGTTCAATATCAATCTTCCACAAACCTTTTTGAAGGAGTAAAACGAGATTAATAATGTGGACTGTCATCATGATAATTCTTCGCAAGGTTGCTGCATCACTACTTTGAATTCCTGTCAGTTGGAATTTCTTTTTTCTTGCATTTTGTTGTCTATGTATGTGGATTTATATTAATACTAAACAATTTGTTTAATATGAAAAATTTTTGTTCTAGCCAAGTGATCCCGACTTCTCCGACCAAGTGATGGTCTACAAGGATATCGGGGAAGAGATGCTGCAGCATTCTTTTGATGGTAAGAGCTTGATCTTGATGTAATATTAACCATCTGTGACATGCCGTCGACTTTTAGGTCTAATGCATGTCGGTTTTCTCACGATATTTTGCTCTACCGTAAACGTATTTAATGCGCACGTAGAGAGAAAAGTATATTCTTGCAGGGCCGTGAATCGATCGATCAAGCCGCTAGAACATTTCTCTAAGTTCATGAACATACTTTTTCGGGACTCGGAAGTCTTCATCGTGATTGTAGAATGATAACCTCATATGTTAAAAATTTATTTTGTATTCCTAGACTCTTATGTCATTTAACTGGTATAATCATGAAGTGAGGACTTAATTATGTTATTAATAAATAAGTCTTTTTTACCATCAAAAACTATGGACAAAAGCACATAATAATATTTTAACGAACATTGACGAAATGTAAAAATCTTCGTTTCCTGTAATGATTGGTTCTCTGGACATACGAGGTTATCATTCTACAGCGACGATATGTAATACTTGTTTATTGTGACATGTTCTAATATAATATTTATAGATTTAATGATTTAAATATCTATTAAATTATGTAATTCATGAAGAGTTCAATTAAAGATAGCTGTTTGGAAACCCGAAATTTTCAAACAACAAACTTACACAAAAGCAGAGTAAAAAAAATTTTACGTTAATACAATTTTTGTATATAAGGATAATTGTTTTCAGGCTACAATATATGCATATTCGCATACGGCCAGACGGGGGCGGGGAAGTCGTACACAATGATGGGCCGTGGTGAGGACGGACAAGAGGGCATTATCCCTCAGATATGCAAAGATCTCTTCCGGCGAATAAGGCAGACTACTTCAGAGGACCTCACTTATTCGGTAATGTCCCTTTTACTATCTATTATTATGCTTGATACAATAAAAAGCTCCATGGTATCTGTATCCGGTGATGACGCGCGTTAATTCGGTTCTATAGCCTTCCCTAACTTTTAATTTTACAATTAATAATACAAACTTTCAGTTTTAGTATATTGTTATTGATGACCATCTGGTTTTTCAGCTTTGCAAAAAGACTTAACGTAAGACAACGCGTGAAAATGTTACGCATTTGAATGTAAACTTCATGTACTCGAATTTGTGATCACAATATATTTGTGATATAACGATTTTTTTGGTCTTAGATTATAAGCGTACTAGCGAGTTTAAAGCAGTTATTCATAAACTAACTAGTCTGTGATTTTTTATTGGTATGAAAAAATCATTCCGATTTATACGCATTCGTTATAAGCCTGAACCAAAAGCACAAACATGAATAGGCTTAACTGTAAAAGCTCTACGACTTTTCACTACTTACTACTAATGATTTCGTGGCGCGTAGCTTTGCTAATTGCGTAGCGTGTGCTACGCGCCTACGGCGTGGCATGGTGATGTAATACTGTTTCCTACTTACAAGCTTTTCAGTACGGCTATTCACAACTTGATGTGGCCATGTTGCCTCATCAATAGGGCTCCCAGGAGGTTCTTAGCTATTTATATAGACCTGGTTGAGTTCTTGAATATGTGTTTCACCTTCCAGACTTTTTTTCATTTCTTTTTGTTAGAATAATTATCAATTAATCTACACTCACATTTTTAAAGTAAAACTATTTGTACATATATTAATCAAGTGGGTTTCTCATTAGGTGGAGGTCTCATACATGGAGATATACTGTGAGCGGGTACGCGATCTATTGAACCCGAAAAACAAAGGGAACCTTCGGGTTCGTGAGCACCCAGCACTGGGGCCCTATGTAGAAGATCTCAGCAAATTAGCTGTCATGTCCTATCAAGACATTTACGACCTCATAGATGAAGGAAATAAGGCCAGGTAAGAAGGCTTTAGCCTCTGTGCAATCTTTTCTTTCATACATCTCATGATTTAAATTAAAAAAAAAAAACTTTTATCTTCTACTGCGTTTTTCATTTGCATTTATTGTCGTGTTAAAATCGTTACCAATAAATTTTTTACCTAAATTTTTCCAGGTTAGATTATTGTTACAGATCGAAGAACTGTTTAACTGAAAACAAACTCTTTAAACTTAGTCTACAGTATAAAAAAAAATCTTGTTTTTTTAGGAGACTCTATGATATTCGTAATCGTACTGTAAGCTATAAACACTTACAAGTGATACATAAAAAAAAAATTTTGGACGTAAGAACATAAGTATGCGTTTCCTTTGGAAGGCAATGCAAGCAATACAAAGAAGTTAAAGCTGTTTATACTATAAACATGAATTTAAATGTATGAGTAAAATGTTCGCGCTTAATTCAATAAAGATATGCAAATAACGGCTTAACTGGCATTACCCCTGGGATTATTCAAACTATACGATGTGATTGTGACCTTGACACAAATGTGGGAGCGCTTTCGTTATTTCTTTCATAAAACTATTGTATGTATTACATAGGTTATTGAAGTATTTCGTCTACTTAAATTTAAAAGCCTCTTTTTGATTACACCATTTCTTGATTTATATACAATTATTTCTATGTTATAAGTTTCATTGAATAAAAGTTTTTCTAGTCTTAATGATGCTTCAACGGATTTTGCTTAAAGCAATAAAAATCCTTTGAGATGTTCATGCCGAACTTTCTGCATTTGACACTTTGTTACCACTGCAGCTGCTTCAAATCAAAGACAATTGTCTTGTCAATCAAAAATAGAAGCTTTATAGTTTAGCGTATACGCGCGGGCTACGTATACGTTGCAACGTAACGGGCCAACACTACCCCAGATTATGCTCTGTAACACAGAGGCGTATTGTATTTAATATATTTTTATTTATATTTAATTAAAATAAATAAATATTACAATTCGTTCATTCATTACAATTGTGAGAGTTGGATCCTATGTCAGGGTTTCCAGCTGTTTCATAAAAATTTAATTTTTTTATAAATTTAATTTTTTTATAACTTTACAACAATTTAAGTTAATTAACGCATTAATTATTTTAATTGTGTCTCATCTTCAAACACATTCTAATATATTATTAGTGACTTAGCATCTAATAAAACCTAACCTTTTTGCTGCAATATTTGTTTGAATTTTTTGCAGAACTGTGGCCGCTACTAACATGAACGAGACGTCGTCCCGATCCCATGCAGTATTCACAATATTCTTCACGCAACAGCGATACGACAAAACCACTAATTTGGTTTCTGAAAAGGTAGATAAACTAATGTTTTTTTGTAGGAAATATAGGAAATCCACTCGACAATTGATTTTAACTACTAAATAATTTTGGAACTTGAATCGCTCTATACTTAGGACATTCTTGGATAATAAACCATTAATTTTGGTTCAATCAAATCAAAATACGTTTATTCAGTTTATATGCGTCTTAGGGCATGCTTATGAATGTCAAAAACGTTTACAAAATTCGCGAAAGAGCAAGACTACGCCATTCGTTCGCAAAACTACCAGGAGGCCTTGTTCTGAGAAGAATGGGCAAGAAACTCAGCATTAATCTGTTTATTTCACAGCATGGGCCCTTAGTAGTAATCGATCTCTTTCGAATCTCGGTAAAACAATTTTTGTTTAATTTACAATAAAATTTTAACTTTGAGTTTTACTACAAAGCATGCCTCATTTCTGAAATTGATTGTTAATAAAATTTACCAAAACCAATATTATGACGATTAAACAGCTATATGTTTATAGCTCCTGTATCTTAATTTAAAAAAAATGAAATAACTCTCTCCATAGTAGCTTATCATTTAAATAAATCAAACACACCACTACACGCAATACGCAAGAAGTCTATTAAGTATGAGGGTGTGCAATTATTTAGTCAATTACCGTCTAAAATTCGTAATATTAGCGCTTTTAACCAACTCAAAAGGACATTAAAGATACATGTCAGAAGTAGTATCTCGTTCGTATATATTATGTTTCTCATGTAATAAAAAATATATTATTCGTAATGAGAAATAAAGTTCTTTAAACATAAACATAAATTATTTATTTTCAGGTGTCGAAAATATCTCTAGTGGATTTAGCTGGTTCGGAACGAGCTGATTCTACAGGAGCGAAAGGAACTAGGCTCAAAGAAGGCGCGAATATTAACAAGTCCCTTACTACGCTGGGAAAAGTTATATCAGCTCTTGCCGAAATTGTAAGTTACATACAACTTATAATAAAAATTAATATTATTTTTTACGTTATCAATAAACATATGTTTTTAGAATTTACAGCGACAAAAGAAATCTGTGCCCTGTTCGAATTCACGTAAACACACAAACATTTTCATCAAAATCGGTTCAGCTGTTTAGGAGGATTATTACGCACAGAAGATATATATTTTTAAGATAAAATCATAATTTATATAAAAACAATCATTTTTTTACTGCCATTATCACGTCATATCATAGGCACATCTACTTCTTCAGATTAAGTCATTATTGAAGTTGTCTAAAGCAGCTAATAGTACATGTTCTAAAGCTTTTATGTAAAAATATTGCGGTACTCATGGGTAATACGAGACAAAACTTGTTTTGTTTTTCACAGGATCAGTGAGGCTTGGCCTTAGGTAATAGTTTAGCCCAAATTAAATCCTATTATTATTAATTTTAAAGGATTTTTTAAAATATTTATTCCTTGAACTATGAGGGAAGTGTTTATGAAGAAAAAAATTAAAAATAAAAAAAAAATTTTTTAGTACTTTGTGTGTTTTATTCCGGAAAAGTGAATGAAAGTGAATGTCTATATGGGGTAGCAAAATGCAGTAAAAAATCATATAAAGGCGAAACGAAGTTCGCGGGGGCAGCTAGTATATAATAATATATACATTATAGCCAAAAACGGGAGATATTTAACACAAACATGAAACACAAAATTTTATTTATAAGTGACAAGCAAAACATAATACCGATTACGGACAACGCATTAAAATTGTTTGAATTAAATAATTAGTACTTTTAGCTGTTTAGTTATGAATTGTTATTGCTGTGTGTGATTGAATCATTGTAAGCTAGCTAAAATCTATTTTCGAATGTTTGATGCATCTTGTGTGGATATCTATAGTCGGTAAGTTGTATGTTTGATTGCGTGGTTCATTTAACAGAATTATTAGTAAAAGCATTATTGCATAGTTCCTATTTATTATATCAGTTATCAGCCGTCTCATCCCCAAATTTTAACTACTACTTATGCTAGCTTGGATTTGGACTAATAATTCTGTGACAATTAATATCATTTATAACATGATTCACTTTTTAATGCACAGTTTGGCTTAGCTAATATTCAATAAATATTGGTCTACATGTACACATGTCAAAATTATTCGAAAGCTATGCTTCCGCTAAAAGTACAGGACTCTAGTAATAGCCCTCTTCAAAAATGCATTTTTGCTTAACTCATACACTTTATACCTATATATATAAATATATATACGATATAAGTAACGGACTAAATCGTTTTATAATTTGTTATTGAATAAAATTATAGTTTTTAAGATTATAAACGCATTATTAAATGTAATATATATGATCATTGTTGGCCTAGTGGCTTCTGCGTGCGACTCTCATCCCTTAGGTCGTAGGTTTGATCCCCGGCTGTGCACCAATGGAATTTATTTCTATGTGCGCATTTAACATTTGCTCGAACGGTGAAGGAAAACATCGTGAGGAAACCGGCTTGCCTTAGACCCAAAAAATGGACGGCGTGCGTCAGACGGCGTGCTTATTAGATTAACACATGATCATACAACGGATACAGAAATCTGAGGCCCAGACCTAAAAAAGGTTGTAGTGACATTGATTTATTTTTATTTAGTAATTTAATATGTATAATGTAATGATTAAATTCTAATTAAAATATTTTGTAGGAATTAATAAATCTAACGATATAACACAGAACACAATCGAAATTCCTTTACTATAAAAGTTATTCAATATTAATTCCTAACAATTCAGGCATCTAAGAGCAAAAAATCAAAGAAAGCCGACTTCATACCGTACCGTGATTCGGTCCTGACTTGGTTGCTTCGTGAAAATCTTGGTGGAAACTCCAAGACGGCCATGATAGCCGCCATTTCGCCAGCTGACATCAACTATGATGAAACATTAAGTACACTCAGGTATGGTATATATTATATATTCTGAACTGAAAACTTGCTAAGATTTTCTGATAATAATTGAATATATTGATAAAGAAATTTGTGAATAGTGTGAGAATACAAAAATGTTAATAATAATTTGATAAACAATGAAATCGTTTTTTTCTTCATATAATGACAAGTTTATTACTTCCTAATTAATGAGTAGTGTTGGCTTAAGCGTGCGGCACTCACCTCTGAGGTCTTAAGTTCGAACCCCGGCTATGCAGTAATAATAATCTGTCTATGTATCACTCGCTCGTACGGTGAAAGAAAACATCGTGAGTAAAAGAATGCCTTAGTTCTTAAAAGTCGACGGCCTGTCAGGTACAGACAAGCTAATTTCCTACTGGCCACGATCACGAATTAGATACAGAACTCTGAGGCCCAGACCTTTGGTCGGACTGCGTGTTTCGGCTGCGAAGGACAAGACTTGCTGCACTGTGATAGTTTGCGAGTTACGTAGGGAAAACAAATTATTGGATTTGCATTCCGTAACTGTCTCAAAATTATGTCAAAAAATCTGATAAAGCCAAGAAGAGGCTGATTGCAGATGGTAAAAAAAAAGACCTATAAGGATTTTTTCGAACAAAAAGTAAAAACTCAGTATTTTTTATTTATTCAATGATAGGCCAATTTGTAATTAGGTTCGATAATTGATTTATAAATGGATTCATAATTTTTATGGAGAAACCTCACTTGTCTATAGATATGCCGATCGCGCCAAGCAAATTGTCTGCAAAGCCGTGGTCAACGAAGACGCGAACGCGAAACTTATTCGAGAGCTCAAAGAAGAGATATTCAAGCTCCGGGAACTGCTCAAGGCTGAAGGCATCGACGTTGAGGAAGGTCAGTTATATTTTTACTCTGCGGCCATTTGATTGATCGATTATTGACAGATTTGTATGTGATTCGATCTGTACGTATACGTGAACGTGTTTTGGTGCGTCCACATTATGCGAAATAAAGAATTGTTGTATTTTTTATTATTATTTTAATTAATTAGTAAAACATAATTTATGTGTCAAATATATTTCAAATTGAGCAAAGGCAAGCTAAAAAAATCTTTTTTTTATATATTTCATTTCAATATTCCCACAATCTAGACACACATACATATAAATACAAAAATGGACTAGTCATTTAAAGTTTAAATGACTAGTCCATTTTTAAATTTTTAAATTTTAAACACTTAACAATTATTATGTAGAAAAGACATTTAAAAGAAAATTGTAATTCAATAGACAAAATACGGATTTAGAACAAAAAAAAAAACTATGAAAGACACGTTCTAAATTCGTCGTAAAAACTATTAGATGCATCGTTCAATATAAATGATAGTTAGCAAAGCCATTGGAATGGCATTTTTCTAATTAAAAACAACTGAATCGTGAAATGTTCTGGTAAATTATTAACCCTATGAAGGGTATTTACGTTGTCAAGTTTGAATCTGTCAAAAATCGCTTAATCTGTGGCGATAAGCTTAGTCATGTAAGCATTGTGATTGTGTTAGTATAGTATCGCCACAACATAGCCGGTATTAACTAACCATGGTTAATTTTGTTTTCAAACGCGAAGGACCTGACGGTAGAGTCGTTTATGAAAAGAAAGAGACCAGTAAGTAAAGAGGCTTTTGCATATGTACACCCCACCTGTACCGCTTTGCCTCATGCCAGGGAAATAAAAAAAAACTGGCAACCCACAGAGCAAAACGCACTCCGAAGCTTGTGGCGTTTTAGAATTATCACTTGGTATTGGGTATATAGTATCGAATTGTATATTTGTGATTTTGAACAAAATATTTCTTAATCTATGCAATTTCGTTCGCGGCTTTATTAATATTAGTTTGAAAACTATTGGCCTTTAGATGTTAATTCTTGGATCGTAATATCGATCGATATCAAGTCGCAAACGAAATAATTTCCTATCTTGTATCGTCGCTTCAATGGCTCAAAACATATAATTGCATGATGATGCTTTAGGTGTACCGACATTTTTAGAGTGTCACAACAGTGACGACATATCCGCTTACTGTGTCAGAGATTTTCTCTCCGAATTATGGATATTAAACTGCATAATTTGTGCATTTAAACAAAACATTTTATCTTTGTTTTATATTTGAGACCGAAACATGTCGTTTGATTGTGATTCGATCTATAAACACAATGAAGCGACACAAATCGATTCTTCACAGTTAAAATATCTTAGTAAAAGTTTTATATTTGTTCGTCAACAAACTTTCTACCATCTCTTGTTTAAACAGGAGAACCTTCACCGATGCGCAAAAAGAATGAAGAAGAAGTGCTATCGCCGAAGCTTTCCCGTGCAGCAACAACGATTGCAGAAGAGGCGGTTGATCAGCTGCAGGCTTCTGAGAAACTTATTGCTGGTAAGTTTTGAGAAATATACAACTATTTAAATTCTACATTCGCTCAGATTTGTCGCTAAATTGTAAAGAGACTTAAATTTTCCATCGAAATGAGTTTTTCATTTTAAGCTTGTCCAATGTTTGTCTTACTAAATGTTTTCAAAATATCATCTTAATGTTATAAGGAAAATTTTTAACTCATGAAATATTTTCATAGTTCAATAACAAAATACCCTCTTCAAAACTTTTGTAAGCGAACCTTCGTCATTTTATTGACGTTTCTTTAGAGTTTGTCCGATATTTCAACAAGTTAGGAAACCTATTAAGCGTTCTGGAAGTTTGTAAGTATCAGGTTTAAAATGAACCCATACAAATCCTGAACCCATTTTAGGGTCTGTTCAGAAGAGCAGTTTAGGCTAGAGCGTATGACTTAACCCTTAAGCGAAAGAAAGTTTGCAATTAGTCATTCTCGTATTTTTCCTGTAAAAGAGAAAACATAAAAAACTTCAGTTAACTTCAGGTAAATACTTAACCGATTTTGATGACGAATCACCTCCTATGACTATGACTACTTTTCCAAGAAATTTGTGTCACACAGTGACGACATTAAGCCAAAGAAACGGTTTTAAGGAAATTAAAAACTAATAATCATTTTTTCAAGTAGGTTAATTATTATTTACTAAATTGTATATTCTCTTTATTGTTTAGAACTAAATGAAACATGGGAAGAGAAACTCAAACGTACTGAGCAAATCCGGGTTCAACGCGAAGCTGTGTTTGCTGAAATGGGTCTTGCTGTCAAGGAAGGCATTACTGTTGGTGTTTATTCGCCCAAGAAGACACCACATTTGGTGAATTTGAATGAGGACCCGAATCTGTCCGAGTGTCTCATTTACTATATCAAAGACGGTAAGCCATTTTGTTGGAAATGGTTTGATTATAGACTAAGGTAACATAGTGTTCGTTCATCATATAGGTATGGAAAACAATAATCATAGGATTTACTTCGAAATTGATTTAAGTTACTTTCCTTTTCTTCAACGTTTTCAGCCATATTATACTGTGAAATATCCATTAACTGCTAACGAAAAAATAATTTCTATGCATCAAGAACTCTAAGGCACTTACGCAAGATAACCTTTTTATCTACAAGAATGTTTATCAAACTCAAAATATCTTTATTCATATAGGTAAACAAGTACACTTATGAACGTCAAAAATGAAGTTAAATTAATTGTAAATTTACATTACTACCAGTTCGCAAGTCAAGGGCGTAGAGCGGGCAAGAAGAACTGGCAAGAAACTTTCCGCCACTCTTTATAATCGCTAAGTTTTGAGTCATACAAATTGATTGAACTGGAGCAAATCTATCCCAAGGATTAGGATCATTTAAGTATTCGTCAAATTTATAAAAAGATTTATTGATTAATTTACGGTTAACAAGGACTTTGAATTTAACACCACAATGTAACTTTGAAAGACTAACGACGAAGTACACACGAAAAACAATACAAAATGTTTGTCCTTTTCACTCTCATACATTTCTATTTTGTTGTCTCATTTTCGTAATTCAATCTATGATATTTTTCGACAGGTTTAACCCGCGTGGGAACAGCCGAAGCGAACGTACCACAGGATATACAATTATCCGGATCTCACATTGTCAGTGAACATTGTATTTTCGAGAACACGGATGGCGTTATCTGTCTTATACCACATCGTGGAGCTCTTGTCTATGTGAATGGAAGAGAGGTATTTGAACTTCTTATGAAATGAAAATAATGATTTAACACCGAGATCTATATTTGGTTATTTAAGGCTAAGCCTTTTTGTGGGCTTGAAATATTTCATGTCACATAATATCTAAATCGATAAATGTTTTTGTAACTAGAAATTATTTTTGCAGAAATCGAACCTAGTATCGCTATTCACTATATACTCTAACCATTTGATTACTTGAAAATGTGACCTGTGTAATGTTCTTAAATTCTAGAAATATGTTTTTGATGAATAGAAACTTTTATATAGTGTTATTGTTGTATTTTAGGTGACCGAACCCATAATTCTAAAGACTGGATCCCGAGTGATTCTGGGTAAGAACCACGTATTCCGTTTCACTGATCCGAGTCAACCCCGGGAGGAACCGGTTAACAACAAAAAACTTGCTGATACACCCGGAGTTGTTGAGAGTGAGTATACAATAATTTTTATGGTAAAATACTATGATTTTATAATGTTCTTAGAAAAGATTAATAGATATCAAAGGTTTTCTGTTAATTTTAGAAAATAACTTAATTCTACAATATTTTAAGTTGAAATTTGGCCATACATAAGCTGTAGATAAATAAATAAATAACGACGATATGTCTTATTAGAACATGTTGATCTGGAGACAAAGATAGTCTGTAATGACACTAATTTTTCTATTAACTTTTCGATCGCTATCTGCATTTATGCTGAAACATCATTAATAAATAGGATAAATAGTAAAGGACGCAATTAAGATCCTTGGGGAACACCTGCCGTAAAGCGTGGTTAAACAATAATCTGAACTTGAATTGTTAAGTCTGATTCCATCACCAAACCTTAGCTTAATGCAAATCAATTTCAAATCTTACCCTAACCCCATATTGAAGATACATTTTGTTTCGTAGAAGACAGTGACACCACCGAAAATCAAAATGTGGATTGGGACTTCGCCCAGTGTGAGCTGCTTGAAAAGCAAGGCATTGATTTGAAGCAAGAGATGCAGAAGAGGTTATGTGCGTTGGAAGAACAATTCCGTAAGGAGAAAGAACATGCTGACCAACAGTTTGAGGAGCAGAGAAAGGTTTTTCTATTATTTTTATTTGGTGTAGTATAATTATAATTTGGTGTTTCCTGGTAAAATTAATGTAAAAAAAACAAATAGAGCACAGTTACTTATAGTATACAAAATATACCAGCCATTATAAGGTCAAAGATTTTGGGACAGCCCATCTCTCATCACCAAAATCTTCAAAAGGATTGTCACTCCTTTTGGAGATTTTACCATCATATTTCATACAGAATTTGGTAACTGAAAGATAACTTGACGAAAAAGCTTACTTTTGAATGGTTCATAATTAAAAATACTTAACTAAGATACGAACGTGGATGAGAGAAATAACCACAAATTCTTACCTATTTTTCAGAACTACGAAGCCCGTATAGATGCTCTTCAGCGTCAAGTGGAAGAGCAGAGCGTCACCATGTCAATGTACAGCTCGTACACCCCCGAAGATTTCCACAATGATGAAGATATATTTGGTAAGTCACGGAAAATGTCACATCTCATTTGTCACTTAGGAAACACATTTTTATCAAATTCTTTGTTTATTTCTTAATTTTTTCTCCTTTTTTTTGTTTTTTTTAGACAGTCAATCAAGTTATAAGGTTTTTAAAGAGAATTTCCAATATTTCTATTGTATGTTTTAGGCGTAAGCTTTTCCGTTTCAAATGACAAATTTAAGAAAAATAATCCTAATTGAAGGGGTGCAAATTGATCAAACGCTAGTCTTCTGACTAGGGAGCACTCATGTACATTTATAATTTTGACGGTTAAAGAATTTCATTTAACAAATAATTATTTATCATTTTGGTTTTCACTAGCAATCCCCTTTTTAGTTTTCCATCTTCGTATAAACATACATTTATGTTTATAGTGAACCCATTATTCGAGACAGAGTGCTGGTCGGCTCGCGAGGTGGGTCTGGCCGCGTGGGCTTTCCGCAAGTGGAAGTACCACCAGTTTACTTCGCTACGAGACGATCTCTGGGGCAACGCTATCTTCCTCAAGGTATGTGTTTATTTAAAAATATTTTTTTTATTCATGTAAACTAATCTTTGGGTACCAGAATGGCTCAACGGGAATCTTTGTTTTCTGAAATAGGCTATTTGACATGGAAAATAAAGCGTTATTAAGAGTAATTTGTTTGAAACATGACTTTAAAAATGTTATTAGTATCTTGTAAATGTAATTTACCAAAAATTTGTTAAAAGTATTGATTTTTATAAGTCACGTGACACGAAACGGTCACAGATTAGTCTATAATGTACTGTATTGCATTGGATTTTAATTTCGGAGAGTTTTTTGCTTGCAATATAATGTGATAGGGTAATTTAAGAAAGACGAAATGTTTGTTTACATGTTTCCAGTATGTTGTTGGAATTGCTACATCGCAATTTTACGTAAATAAATGTTTTGGCGTGTTCTTGAAATTATGAATGTTCTAAATAACTTTTTAGTCAATCCATAACAGAATTAAAATTAACAATTTGTGTTGATTCATATTCATTAATAAATAATCTAAAATGGGGTTAAATTTTAAAAAAGTATTTAAGCTAATTAAAGTCGAGTAAATAATTGTAACGCATGTCGGAATGTTAATTTAGCCCTTTAAGAGCTGGATTTGTTCTATTTTTTAGTTCTGGTCTAAAAAAACCTCTGTTCTGATTACCATTTTTATGGAACGATAAAAGTATTACCCTAAAAATAACATTATTTTTATAGTTACGAATAGGGATCATAGCGACATACCCTCACTTTGACAAAAGAAAATTTACTTCAATATTTATATTACTACTTGCCAAAAATTTTGTTTCACTGATTATTTTCTTTTCATTAAATACCGACAGAATATTGTATTGATAATTTAAAAAATAAATACGAAATAAATAAATTTAGGATGTATGTTTTTAACTAAAGATATTACCTTATACTATGTTCATCGTTTATCGTTTAATCCGTTTTGGCTATATTTTTCATTTTGTTTTTTTAAATATTATCATTTTATAAGCTGTGGATCATCAATTGACTGTTGAATAAATAAGTGTTTCATTGTTCTAAAATAAAAATATAATTATAACAGGAAGCGAACGCGATATCGGTAGAACTACGCAAGAAAGTTCAATTCCAATTTACGCTCCTCACCGATACACCATTTTCACCCTTACCGGCGGAGTTGGCACCGCGTGATGATGCAGATGACGAATATCGCCCAAGTGCTCCAACTGTGGTGGCCGTCGAAGTCACTGATACCAAAAATGGGGCAACACACTATTGGACATTGGAGAAACTGCGGTAAGTGACAATTTATAGATTTTTTTATTTATGAGGAACATTCTTACATAGATAATTTGTTTGTGTTTCGATTGTCTCTGAATACCTCTAACTATAAAGTAAAATCCCATCAAAATATTTCAAACAGTGTTGCAAAAATGTATCATTTTGGCGAAGTATATTTGTAGAAATTATAAATTAAATTAAGAATGTTTGGTTTAACGGTAAGTAAATTTTGTGTAAACTTAGTTGTGTGATCTAGTTGTAATTTAAATTAGAATTTAACCCTTATTACATACATAGAAAACTAAATTATCTGATACTAAAGATTTTTTTTAAATTCGTAACACATTACATTATTTATTTACAATATTTTTGTTGCATTTATTTGTATTATTCTATTATTTTACTTTTATTTTTCGTATAATACTTATTTAAAGCACTTTATGTTTCAACGAATATCAATGCTGCACTTTACATTGAAGCGTCTACACGGCACTAAAATCAGTGGCGATATCGGGACAATGGTGGTGGGGATGAAATCGGCTCGTAGTTCGAATCGGCAGTAGCAATAGGGTTGATAAAAATTTATCTAGAGTACTCCCCCCACCACTTCCCCGAAATTGCCTCTGATTTTATTATAAAATATTTGTATACATGTATAAGTCGGGTCTTGGTCTAGCGATGCCTCATAGCGCTGATTAATTTGCGGCTTTTTTCATTTAATCGCTTTATCTTGTATATATTAAAAAGGCATAAACATGATTAACACAAATACATTCGCAAGCGTTAGGATCCTTCAACAAAACTCTACGCATCGTTTGGTTAGGTTAGTTAGCAAAGATATTTTTCGTAGACGTCGTCTGGAGCTAATGCGTCAAATATACAACATGAACGAGTCGGCATGTTCTGAAGATGACGAGCCGACACCGACGATTCGTCCACCGTCGCCCCCCATACAAGCGAAACAAGACGATCTATTGCAGTGCATTTCCGCGTGTGCGCAACAGACCAGACTGTCACTAGCCAACCTGTTACCTTCGAGGTTTGTGCTGCCTCAGGGGAGAAACAATACAGCGATGCATTGGCATTTCGACAGAGATAACGCTAGATTGGTTAGATATGGAGCGGTCGCACTGCTCGCTAAACATATAGCATAACATATATCGTCGCTGCTAATGATAACCTCGTATGTCCCGAGAACCAATCATTACAGGGAACGAAAAAAATGTTTCATTTCGTCAATGTTCGTTAAAATATTATTATGTGCTTTTGTCCATAGTTGTAGATTGTAAAAAGTACTTATTCATTAATATCAAAAATAAGTCCTTACTTCATGATTAAGTTAAATGTTAAATGACATAAGTCTAAGAATAAAAAATAAATGGTTTTTTGACATACGGGGGCTATCATTCTACGTATACAGTGACGATATACATTTGTCGCTTCTTACGCCCGAACCCAATAATTAATCCACATTCTCAGATTGAAAACAATCTGAGATCAGACCGTGACGGTCGATCGATCTCCTATCCCAATAACCAAACCCTACGAAGACAATTCATTTTGGCGACGGATAAAATGCTCTTTGTCTTTCCATTTTACCGAGTTTTCACTCATATTTGATAATCAATGTAAACCAAATAAAGTAAATCAAACCGTACAAATATAATAATATACATTAAAATATACATGTTACATTTAAAACATAACAAATAGTTTTTTTAATTATTTAAAGAACTGGTGTAAGTTTAAATCTATTAAAATAATTAACTGTTGAAATCGAGCTTTCGTCAACTGTCATTTTCATACAAAGCTCTATCCACAGACACCGATACGACCTCCCATGGATAGCTTCTATCGACAGATGGCTAATACAATCGATTCGTTATAGGCACACTTGTTAGAATATTTGTATTAAGATTACTATCTCAGATGGTGGATTATGGATTGAGAGGTTATTGGGTTCGGGCGTAAATCAATTTATACTTTGAATGCAGCAGTGCGGCCGCTTTAATTTTCTTAACCTGGGAGCCGCATAAAGGGGATCGAGTAGGCAAAGTTGATACCTGTTTTGTTTCTACCTACTCAATGTTAACCATTGCACAGTACTCGAGGCTTCGCTATCTGTCTACCAATCGGATCTTGTATATATTTAAAATAGCTTTTTAGGTTATAAGCACGTGGCGTCATATGAGGAAAAAATCTTTTGGAAGTCCAAAATTGTTTGCAATGTTTGTGTTCAGTTGTGTTCGCATGTGCCTTAACTTAGCTAGACTGAACTTATGCATGTACCTCATTCTATAAACTTCCCTAAAGTGGCTAAATATATTAAAGTAATTGAAAATATTAAAGTAGCTAAATGGAAAATACAGGAACTTTTTATTGTTCCGGGCCATTGTATTGGTTAATATGTATCACTATGACAAAAACTTGAAGCTTAGCTTGACTAGAGCATAGTTATTGCACCCAAATTTTGTATAATTGTGCTAAGGCATGTACTAAATGCCAATTTGTATTCTTTGTGCAAATATCTGAATCTTTTATACTCAGATCATATATTTAATATGTTTAGCCTAGAGAATCCTGAGGAACCAAATTCAATTAAAATCTACTAAAAAAATACATGTAATATTGAGTCTAGTAATCCGAGCTCAAATTAAGTTTGATTCCCGCTCAAAGCAAATTTTATTATGCTTACAGCTTTTGCTCTCATCTGTCAAATTGTGAGAGATGGGAGAGTTAGTTCCCACTTAAGCTTATCTCTAGTTTTGAGGATACTTAATAGTACGAGATCCGGCTGCAGGACTAGTGCGTTCTTCGGTAATATGCTAAAACCAAATTTTTATGTATATTTATAATTAGGAGAATATATATCTACACGTAACATCATTTGTCAGACTAGGATAGCGATTGCCGACTGTGCGGCGCATGCGTCGATTTTATTTAAAAAACAAGTGAACGAATTTTTTTCCCAAAAATCAATTAAAATATTAGCGGCCAACTTTTGATAGGCGACTTGTTAGATATATCATCCTAATTATAAATATTCTTAAAAAAATAAAATGGTTTTTAGCAAATAGCCGATGAACGCACTAATCTTACAGCCGGATCTTAAAACCTGGTACTTTCAGAAAAGCTGACTTTAAAAGGTTTTGTATTAACAGACAACGCTTGGAGCTGATGCGTGAGATGTACCACAACGAGGCGGAGCTCTCTCCGACATCGCCAGATCACAATATCGAATCTGTGACCGGTGGAGATCCATTCTACGATAGATTCCCCTGGTTCCGTCTTGTTGGACGGTAAGTCATATGATTCATATTTTCCATACTTTTAAACAACAAACTCTTTGAATTACGTATATATAGCGATCTCGATGGTTTTGTTGTTAATTTTGATATAATTCTTGAATTGCCGTGGTGTTTATGTCGTAACTTTGTGATCGTGCGGTACAAAACTGATCGAATCCGGTACTGCTATCCATATATTTACAGTATCAGCGCAAAACTAGACGTACGCTGATTTTAAATATAGTTTAAATTCCTTAATAATAAATTAAAATTAATAAGCTCCTAAAGTCATTAAATTAAGATAATTTTCATTGTTAAATAAATAAATCAGTGGCGCTACAACCTTTTACCTCTGATTTCTGTATCTTTTTCATGATCATTTGTCAATCTAATAGGCAAGTAGGTGATCAGCCTCCTGTGCCTGACACATGCCGTCGACTTTTTGGGTCTAAGGCAAGCCGGTTTCTTCACGCTTAATTTTTACTGGTTCTAAAAGTCTGGTTACGGCATACCATGTGCTTTTAAATACCGATGATAAAGGATCACATAGTGATATATTGACTTTTTGACCTTATGTCCACAAACCTACATGATATTTTGATGTTTTTATTCTCATATATGAATAGTCGTGTATTTTAACCCTTCATGTGCAAGAAGTACTTGTTACTCGCTCATCATATAGCATTTGTCCTTTTGCAGGAGCTTTGTATACCTCTCGAACCTCCTGTACCCGGTTCCGCTCATTCACAAGGTCGCGATCGTGAACGAGAAGGGAGACGTGAAGGGCTACCTCAGGGTAGCCGTGCAGGCGGTAGTCGACGCCGAAAAAAGTAAAACATTTTATACTATTGAACTATAACATCTTCAGAAAACATGAAAAAATTTATCAAAAAATAATTAAGAATATTTTTTTTTATTTTAATGTTTTTTCCAACGGAACATAAATTTTTCGTTCGTGTCTACGTACAGCATTATGATTTATCATAATTTGTCCCGTTTAAGTTTAGAGAAAAATTTATGGGATGCTTATTTCAAGTAAAATTCACCCAATTGCTTTTTTTACAGAAGAATATTTTGGAAATTATTACAGATAACGCTGATTTCGTAGCAGGTGTCAAACAGTCCGCTAAGATCTCATTCGATGACGACATCGTGCCCACTCGGTCACGATTGAAGACTTTGTCAACCATAGACAAGAATAACGCGATTAATTTAGAAGATAGACCTGATCAGGACTCCAACATTAAGATTGAAGGTGATATTCATTGTTGTAAAATATTTCAAAAATGCGTGTTTGATTGTTAAAATTATTGCGTGTTTTGTCTTGGAGTGGAGAATCGAAGCTAATTTCGTTGTTTTTTAAATTAAACTGAAGTTGGTTACGAATAACAAATTGGTTACGTTAATTTCTTCCACAGTTCATAGGTCATATAGTCTAGACAGCTGAAAGTAATGCAATTTCTGGAAATGAATCATAGCGCTTCCGGTACGCTATATGTTTTACCAAGGAAGTCAAGTTTTCTCGCATATAAGTAGTATTGCAAAAAAAGTAACGAAAATTTTAACGGCCGAAGTTTTGAATATTGCCTTATACTGTTGGTTGTGCATGATGTATATCGACTTATATTTTTAAGTAAAATATAATATATGAAAAAAGAAAGCTTTATTATACATAAAACAGGATGTTTAGTTAAAAAATAAACCCCCACACTAGAATTCCCTGTGTCGGCAGTTCTTCCATTTCACATATTAACGATACTTGACATAATAATTTCTGTATAACACTTACAATTTTATTTTTAAACTACTGTTGCACAATAAGAATACTTTTCGGTATTGAGAGAATTATTTAAATTTAATTTCATTAAAAAAAAATCATGACTAAATATATTTAGAACTAGCAGCTGCCGAGTGTGATGCAGACAGTGGACGCGGAGACAGTTCTCTCGCGTCTGAGCTGAAGGATGACGAGCTTCCAGAGCACTTGACCCCGGGCAAGGAGTTCACCTTCCGAGTGACCGTACTTCAGGCCCACAGCGTGTCCACAGATTACGCTGATGTCTTCTGTCAGTTTAAGTACGTATTAAAATCCAATCACAGAAGAGAACGAACGGTCGTTTCTTTTGCTTTTAAAAGCCATGAACTTTACGATAGTTTGAACAAGAATACGTTTTCGTTAGTTCTATAATGTCAGATTTGACAGCTCAAATTTTTCTTTTCCTTTCTATAACACGAAGCTTAGGCCTCCAAATACGCCCGCGGATTGTAAAATGACGATTCCGCATATTTGTTTATCTTTACTATGGGAGCTTTCAAGTATAACGTAACGAATTTTTTCCTTTTTTAAAACGTTACTATGCGGGGCGGGGAGTGAATTAAGCGTTATTGTTAATATTATTTTCGACTTTCCAGTACTTACACACATCATAATGTTAACTTTTAGGTATAAAGAACGTTTTACTGTACTTGCGTGACGTAACACTTGAACGCTCCCTATGTAAATCAAGCATTGCCAATGTTTTATACCGAATTTGATATTATATTTTTATTCATAAATAGTTTTTTTCGAGGTTTGTTAATATTTTCGATATATTATTTATTCGACTTGCATCATTATTTTTCACCACGACGCAATTAAGCGCTATATCAGAATTACAGAGCCTGAATTAAGTATCCGTAGGGATCCAAATCGGTGGATTCAGAACTCGAAACTGACAGTGTATGCGTCCTGCTTCAATACGTATACGTACGAGTACGTACAAAAACGTATTTTTAATAATTCATATTTATTAATGAAAATATGTCATTTTAGCTTCTTGCATCGAAATGAAGACGCCTTTTCAACGGAGCCAGTCAAAAATGCCGGCAAGAATACGCCACTTGGTTTCTACCACGTACAAAACGTAAGATAACATTACGGTCTTCCTTTTTTACTAGCAAGATTGATTCCGTATTACTTTGATGCTCAAGCTAATGGTTTTTTTGTGTGTTAAGATATAATTTTTACTGTACTGTATTGTAATTTTGCTGTATGAGTCTTAAATATATTTAATTCTTAGAAATTGTAAAATTTGTACAAGTTTGAATTTTTTTTTCAGATTACCGTTCCAGTAACGAAATCGTTCGTTGAATATATTAAAACCCAACCGATTGTCTTCGAAGTTTTTGGGCATTATCAACAACATCCTTTACATAAGGTATGTATATAAATATGTCGTTCTTTTTTATATATTAATATCGTTATAATTAAAGGAAAATATATAGATGATTTTTTAACAAATGCTAGTACAGTATTTTTTTATATTTAAATATCTCAATTATTATTTTAGGATGCCAAACAGGATGGCCCAGTGGCGAGTCGTACGCCCCCTCGTCGAATGTTGCCACCCTCCATCCCGATATCTGCCCCCGTGAGGAGCCCCAAATGGGGGGCAGCCAGTGTGGCGCCCCCATGCTGCTCCTCGCACCTGCACTCCAAGCACGACTTGTTGGTCTGGTTCGAGATCTGCGAACTGGCGCCCAGTGGGGAATACGTGCCTGCTGTGAGTACATAAGAAATTTTAACGCGTTTATTATTATTTTATTTAAACGAAGGAAAACGGACAGGAGGCTCATCTGATGTTAAGTGATACCGCCGGACATGTACATTGCCAGAAGGTTCGCAAATGCGTTGCCGGCCTTTCAAGAATTGGTACGCTCTTTTCTTGAAGGACCCTAAGTCGAATTGGTTCGGAAAAACTTCAGTGGGCAGCTGGTTCCACATAGTGATGGTGCGCGGCAAAAACTGCCTTATTAATGTTGAACTAAATAATATTAATGTTGAACTGAATAATATTAATGTTGAACTAAATAATATTAATGTTGAACTAAATAATATTAATGTTGAACTGAATAATATTAATGTTGAACTAAATAATATTAATGTTGAACTTTTGATATCTTTGGCTGATCACCTACTTGCCTATTAGAAAAATCAACGATCACCAAACAGATAAAAACATTGTTTTTTCTAAGAAGTGGATTTAAAAGCTTCTTTTATGTAAAAACGTAGTTTTTATAATCACATCACATCACACATAGTATATTTAGTATACAATACTAAATCTACGGTATATGTTACAAACTTTTTTATCTAAAACGTATGAAAATTTAAGTTAACAAATGTTACAAAAATATACAATTAAAATAAACAAGATAAATTAAAAATACCAGAAATTTTTGTTAAGCAGATAAAAAAAATTACGGACAAAACAGTGGATTAGGTTCGAGATAGCCACTTACCAATGCTTTCTTTAAAACCGATTACCCATTACCGAATTTATCCAGTTCCGGATAAGTCAAGTATCATGCGAACCTTCACCAATCATGTGTTACGATGAATTTGTTTAGTGGGAAGTCAAATTAAAGAAATCAAAACCAAGCCATTTATTAAAATAAATCAGATTATTGATAAGTCACGATAGAACATATATTTTACACAGATTTCTTTCAATAAAATTAAATTTTACATACATAGGTATTCGAACATAGCGACGATCTTCCATGCCGTGGGCTGTTCCTCCTCCATCAGGGTATCCAACGTCGTATCCGCATCACAATTCTCCATGAGCCATCGTCAGACCTTCAGTGGACTGATGTCAGGGAGCTTGTTGTTGGTAAGAAAATTATTTGATTAGACCCCCATTCAAATCATTAGATTAATACAAAATTAACCAGTAAATGTCAATCTTAATTAATAAAAAATAGTAAAAACCTTTTAACACATGTAAGATTCAAATTTAAATCATATTTGTCCCCATCTCGATTGTTAGGTTCTGCGCGTTACGAAGTTACATCATTATAGTTTGACAATAATAATGATCTTGAAAAAAATTTTATGGTTATAAAGTATTATGGTGTGAAGAAAAAACTGTCATTTATCAAATTAATGAATTGTTTTAATGTTTTTCCCAAAATATATATAAAGAGTGAATCAAACGGGGTCCAACAATATGTCACAGTGCGCACTACTTCCAAGCTAGTTGTTCGAGCGCACACATACGCGCGGGACGAACGAGTTTGTAATCACGTGGGCACTTAAAAGTTTGAATAAGATTAATTTATTGCAATTCTTCTATCCTATTAAATTTTATATTTTGAAATAATAAATAATATGTGTCATCCTATATAAGTAACTAGTTAATAACTCACCGTCGCAGGTCGCATACGCAATAGTCCTGAGGCGAACGAGGACACGACAGATGGGGATGAAGATGGAGCCCTTTCCCTAGGTCTATTCCCAGGGGAACGACCCAACTTAGACGATCGAGCCGTATTTAGGTAAATGATTTAATGATAAAATTGTTTAATGGATTAAGAGAAGGTATTAAAAGTCGATTATTTTGAAGGTTTGAAGCGGCATGGGACAGTAGTCTTCACGGGTCTCCGTTGCTCAACCGAGTTAGCGCCAATGGAGAAGTTGTCTATATAACACTGAGCGCTTATCTAGAGGTAATACTAAAATTATAAATTTTTCGTCGATATTTTAGGAAGATGTCAAATATTTATTATAACGTCATAATTTTTTATATTTATACACATAATATACACAATATTGCTACTGTGAATTCACTCTGCGAACATTTAAATATGTCGATAGTGTCGGAGACAGCACTCTGTAGACGCTTCTAGATCTTTGATAACGGGGATTTGTGCAACAGACTGGATTTGGCCCTTGGTATCACAAAATATAACCTAGGCCTTCGCCGTCGCACATATCCCATAGGTTAAAGAAACCCAGTTCTTGGAGCACAATTTGGTTGCGCACTACCCCCTCAATATATGATATATGTTCATATATATCATAGATATAATAATTAGAAAACCTTTATAATTATACTTCATTATTCTTAACGATAGCTCGATGAAAAAATGCGTCCTAATATCCCATATTATCGATCCCACTTACAAACTGCGCCAGTTTTTGAAGTTATATTTCTTTAGGCGCGTTATGAAAAATTTATGAGAATGAAATTTTACGACGCGCGCGCACCTGAGACAGAAAGTTGTCAGTGTGATTATAAGCGTGCGCGAGCGAGATGGGAGTAAGACAATCTACAAGTAAAAAGAAATAAAAGATGCGTGAAGTTAGCAGCTATGCCAAGAATTTTGAATGACCATAATGACATTTACCTTTTAAACAAATAAAGGAGTTTTAATTATTTTTTCAAAGAAATTTAGCAATGCTTTTTCACAAAGACCTATTGTTACTTAGTTAAAAGGTTATGAAACATACCAAGTTATTAAATTGAGTGAATAATATAATAAAATAATAATAATAATTGTTATTAATATTAATTAATAATTGTATAATATACTAATTATTAAATATTATTAAATTGTTTACGTTAAATATTAATTATTAATTAATTATATTTAAAAAAAATAAAGAAAGCCAAAGAAGTATAACTTCTTACGGCCGTACATAAGTACACGCACCCTTTTTTTTTTGAAAAAGTTACAGTATACTTAGATAGTTCAATATGATTGATCAGGCTATAAATCCAATTTTAAACTATTTAATATACATATAAGAGCTCTGAATACACAAAAACCTGAAATGAGCGTAATGGGTAATTCACCAAACAAACAATTAACAATACTAGTATAGATATTATGATCCATTAGTAATGTATTAATATGCACATAGATCGAAAACTGCGGTCGCCCAGCGATAGTGACAAAAGACCTCTCGGTGGTTGTCGTGGGTCGTGAAGCTCGCACGGGTCGTTCGTTGCGACGCGCGTTGTTCGGATCCAAGATGGCGCGGGCTGACAGACTTACGGGCGTCTACGAACTTAGCCTGCATCGCGCTCTTGAACCAGGTATGTTTTTAATCATTACTAACCCAGCTTATACAATATACGATCAATAAAAATGTGTCAAGATTTAAAAAAAATAAAGGAATACAGCGCATCAGGTAGGTTTTTGAGTCTGTTTTATCAATCATTTTATGCCAATTCAACCTTTTACAAATTGTACTACTAAACGACAATGGAACACAGCACTTACGACCTAGGTCCTTTTTCTAACCACAATTCTTTCATAAGGAATTTACGAAGTTCATAGGTGCAGGGAGATATAGTACACTTATTTCCGTATTAACTTTAATTTAGTACATATTACCAAACACCATATTAAGTGAAAACCAATACTACTTTCTGTAATAAATATTACTTTAGAAATTCTTAACATGACATGACAAGTCATTTTAGTTTTGATCACCACTATATTTACGAAGCAGTGTTGAACTAAAGTCATGATTTCGAATCGGGTACAGCACCAACTCGCTCGGTGAAGAAAATCATAGTAAAGAGACCGGCAACTAACCGCAACTTGACGGCGTGTGTCAGGCACAGAAGGCTGATCACCACTATAACTTAAAAAAGTCAAAAATCATTTATTATATAGGTAACAAAATGTACACTTATGAACGTCAAAAAAGAAATATACATTAAATGCTTCTAATTTTACATTTACTGACAGTTCTCAAGTCAAGGGCGTAGAACGGAAGAGAAGAACTGGCAATACTCTCCGCCACTCTTTTTAATCGCCAAGATTTTTGTTTACACAACGTTTGTTAGGAGCTGCAACCATTACACCATGTTCCACATGACATCTTAAGTAATAAATAATTATAAAATAAATTAAAAACAATTTATGTGTCCTCTATCAGCAAGAGGCCGCTCGCCATATTTTAGGGAGAGAGACAACCCGACGCATGGACGCCGCCACAAGCAATGACATGTGTTATCTTTAATATATTGTTATTTATTTTAGGCGTACAACGCAGACAGAGACGCGTACTGGACACGAGCGGCACCTACGTGCGCGGAGAAGAAAACCTTCACGGGTGGCGACCTCGTGGAGACTCCCTCATATTCGACCATCAGGTATGGATTTTCTCTGATGCTGTAGTGGATCTGTGTCTTGATATGTGCATGTTGTTTACCTTCACATTCACCGATGCTCAATTTTAAAAAGGGAATTTTAGGAGTTGGTTGTTCGCAAAGGTCCTCAAATGTTTTATTATATTGGAGGAAAATAATTTTGACTAATTCAATCAAAATGACGATAATATAGTACTTTCACCGTTCTATATATACACACAGATATAAAATATATTAATTTAATATTCTATTTTTTTTTAATTTTGTTGTAGTACATTTTTTCACATATATTTTCGGTGAATGTGATAATGCAATAGGGCTGTGAATATGCACTATGAATATTGTTTAAGTGTCGGTCAACTATTAAATTAACAGAAATATATTGAACCTATTTAATAATTGTTAATGACTTCTTGACCGAGAGCTAGTAGTGTTAGCGTTGTTGCTATGCTATTACCGTAGTGCGAATAAAATGTAAATTGATACTTGTTTGGCATGACAACGTTTGAGAAGTTTTTAATGGTAAAAAGCTCAGAAAACTTAAGTTACCTATTCGAGTACAATTTAGAAAATAAGCAATGATGAAATATGTTAATTATTTGTTATAATCTTAGTTGATTATTTGATTACATACTTTATGTTATTGAAAGAAATAGACCAAATAGGTGTCAACATACTCAAGTGATCAGAGAAAAGTTTCAATGCAATTAGACTCGATTTAGGGTGCTTCAAGAAAAGAGCGCAACAATTATTTAAAGGCAACGTACTCGCGAGTCCTCTAGCATTGAGTGTCTATGGGCGGCGATATCACTTCACGTTAGATGAGCCTCCTGCCGTTTCTATAAAAATCAAAATTCTGACTTTTATTACTATGTAAATACAAATTAAAATTGGTCCTATCTTGTAAACAAATCATTTCATATTTTGCTAAAAATATATAAATATACAGTCTCTGTATCGTAAACGTTGTCACGTCATTGGCGCATCGACAGCTGCACCAATGTGCATTAACAATGTTTTTTTTCTCACTCGTACAGAAACGCATTTGGCGCAAAGTGATGTATGATTGGCCCCTCAACGTTATCGATAGATTTCAGGTCCACAATGTTTTCTTAGCTATTTAGTATGTGCGCAATCACTCACTCGATGTTCCTCATTCATACTAAATAGCTATTGAAAATTTGTGTACTGGGCATCTCATACGGGATTCGTTTCATCATACATTGTTAGCTTATTTGTAGCTTTTGCTCATCATTGTAAAGTACCGTCTTTTTATATTGTTTCATGCCTTTTGCTTGGATATCTGCTTTTGACGTTGGATCATTTCTTGCTTTGTGGCTTAGCATGTGTGTAATTGATACTTAAAAATATCGTGCTTTAATCCTGAAAATTATGGCTCAACATTTGAGGGTAGTTATGAAAATTCATATATGTTTCAGTGGGAGTTGGAGAAAATGACTCGGCTGGAACAGGTGGGACGTACAAGACACTTGCTGGCTCTGCGTGAACGTCTGAGGCATGGGCATGAGAACACAGTTGCTCCAAACGACTTTACTAAGACAGAAAAGGTATATCCGGATTGAAGGACCAAAATGTGTTTTTTAAACAATTAGTATTTATGACAAACGAGCAATATACCTTCGAAACATTGAATGTCTAATTCAAACAACGGTGATACATAATTCCTTTCCTGAAACCTGTTTTTTTTAATTAGCTTGTTTAAACTTTTTGTTCTTTGTTAAATTTTATATGCTATAAAACAATTATTGGTTTTTTATAGTATAAAATGTGTCTACTACAGGAGGTATGCAACATGGCGGCAAAGGCAGCATCTGAGTGCGCACACACACGTGACGAGTCACTCTATGAGCCATGGGAAATGTCACCAAAGGAGAAGGAACTAACCTCTAAATACATCAAATTGATACAAGGTATTTTTATAGGATAAATATGTTTGCTAAGGCTAACATGGATTGATTATTGTACGTTATGGAGGTAGACATTTTGTGCTTCCACCGTAGGTGATAATAATTTCTGTTTTTTTTCTTACAACTAAAATATACCAACACTTTAATACAAATTAAAAGGTCACCATTACAAATAAATTTTTAGAGTAATATTGAAATATATATACGTATACATACATATATATTGCTAATATTGCCTTCGTTTTTAAGTCTTTGTACTTTGGATAAGCAAAAGAAATTTAATACGAAGTTGTTTAAATAACTTTTCTTTGTTCATGACTAAAGCTACTTCTTCAGGACGAATAGGCACAAACACGAACAAAGAAGTGGAAACAGCAGTATCTCCTGCGACTCCGGTCGACGAAGGCGTGTCTGCGGATATTTCCACCCCAAGTCTTCTTTCTTCTATTCACAGTGCTAGCAGTTTTGAGTGAGTAAACGATCTTATTGTGTAAATGCATGTTATTTGGCTCTGATTTTTACAACTTGTTTTGGATTTTGATAACTTTATTTTAGTCAATACTATTGGTTTATATTAATTTATTTTGACTTTGAAAAGATTTCCCTCCTTATTCCTTAAGAACTGTCAATTGTATCTTTAAAGTTTGACTATTCTGCCAAGATAAAATTGTTTGAATTTTGGGAACTTGTAATATTTTAGGCTCTGCTCTCCCGAGCGCGCTCTTCTCGAGAAATCCATATCGGGCTGGGGCTGCGGCGTAGGTGCGCCCATGGGCCCCATGTCCGTCTCGGGAGTTGGAGGCGCCCTCTACGTGCCCGAGTGCGAGGAAGTGCGCGTGTCGGCCGCAGTGGCACGACGCGGGTATCTTAACGTGCTGCAACACGGCACGCACGGCTGGAAGAAACGGTGGCTGGTAAGTTTACATATTGGCTAAAAGTTAAAAGAATATTTAATGATGTACATTTTAGTTAATTATTGTAAAGTTCTCGGGAAAAGAAATAACAATTAATAATTATTTAACCAACCATTTCTTTCTTCCATTAATAATAAAAGAGCATGTATATAGGAGTTGATTGTATCGCCACAAAATTAATTTCCTATGTAAATATTTTTCAAGTAGGAATATATATTTAACATGTAAATAAAATATATTAAAATTAATTTTAGGTGGTTAGACGGCCGTACGTATTCATGTACCGTGACGAACGCGATCCCATTGAACGTGCGCTCATCAACCTTGCGAACGCGCACGTTGAGTACTCAGAAGACCAGGAACAAATGGTCCGCATGCCTAATACATTCAGGTTAGTATAACGAGTCATTAGAGGTCAACAGATATTGGTTTTTGTCTCCTGTTTACCATGACATTCAAGATTTTAGATGTAATAAAATTGCCATTAAAACTCCGAGTTATTTCTGTGATTTCTGTTCACTTTTTTTTCTTAAATTTTTCTCGTTATGGAAAAAAAAATTAACCTGGCAGAGAAAAATAAATGATCATGGCTGGTTAAAAAACATGATTTAAACGCGTATATTACGTACGTTCGTACGTTTTCAGTGATTGACAAATCTCAATATTCAATTCTTTGTTATTATCTGTTTAAAAATTCCTACAGATAAATGTACCATATACCTATAGTAAATTATTAATAATGTTCATCGTTCTAATCCCAATATGTTACACGGCAGTGTGGTGAGCAAGGAGCGTGGCTACCTGCTCCAGACCTTGGGTGATAAAGAGGTCCACGACTGGCTGTACGCCATCAACCCATTACTGGCTGGACAAATCAGGTGAGGATATAAACAATTCAAGTCAAGTTGATCAATATATATACTTTGTGTATCTCCATAAATTTGTGAATTCACAACGCTTACAAAGTCATAATTTTAGTCATTATTATATTTGGATGTATGAAAGGTTAAAAATTTAATGAAAATAATTTCAAATACTAAAATAAAAAGGCTTAAATAACATATTTAACTGGCTAACTAACCAAAATTCATTCAATTTTGTGGGTTCGATCTCCTTATTCCGGAAGATGCTTTTTCGTCCGTATCTATTTTCTAGAAATCCAACGCAGAACTGGGGTTTATCCTGATGGTAACCACTTTAAAAATGTATGAAAGACGTTATAAATTGTAGGTTAGTTGCTTTTAAACTTGAAACCTTGCAGCTAATGTCCTTTTACTTAGCCTTTTGAAGTGGTTCAAACTATTCGAGTCATAAATGCAAGCATTCAATTGTTTAAGAGCATTAGCCTAAGTCATATCCCGAGCTCTGCCCAATAAATACACGTATAAAGGTGTGCGCGCACAGGTCGCGTTCGGCCCGGCGCACTACTGGGGAAAAGGGGTCACCTAACAAAGCCTCACCCGAGAAAGGACAGCTTGCAGCATGAGACCTCACAATGGAGTCTTTACTCGTTTATTAAAGGCGTTGCCGACGGAAGAATAGCGCACAGACCGCTCAGAGCCGTGCGCTCCGCCAGATATTGAAACCGGCCTATGAGCTCCACTTACGTCCCACTTGATAGGGTTTATGAAAGAATTGTGTCGGCCCATTGCGTTAAAGAGCGAGAGAACTATTACTGGTAATTGATACGGACGCGGTTACAAGAAGTACAAATTTAATACTATTTACATAAATAATAAACGTTTGCTAAATGAATATCGCTGAGTCACTGCTGGAGCAGTTTCTTTTAGATTGAAATCGTAAACTGACAATTTTTAAAATGGTCTACTATGACAAGAACTTATTCATCAAATTTTTCTTGAAAACATTATTTCAATCTCAAGTTAGTGTACCAATGTGGTATAGAGAAAATAGATAGATATATTATGGATTTGTGTTCTTTGTAACCGCTTGACACAATTGAATATCTTGTGTGTTGTTCGTGTCAAAATACCTATTGTTAGAATGTACGTGCGGAGTAGTGATGCTTTTTATACAGAAAAGTATCATAAACTTTGAAAAAAGGAACTCTCCAAAATGGAAAACTCGTGGGACGAAAGTGGATAGAAAAATTCCGTGACTGGTTTGGTAGAAAAGAATTTACCAAAAATTATTTGCTTACTTTAGTAAGATATTTTCCAAAGACTTTCTAATCCGAAATTCGATATATATTTTTTAATTAGTTGTATCCTTCGGTGTTATCGCCATTTTCAGTATTAATTGCATTTAATGCGACGGTTCTATACGTAATTATAGATTTTATATTTTCGACTTGCTATGGACAAGTGTGAGTTGGGACCAAACCGGTGCACAGACGAGAGCTATTTACAGATTGTGGAGAACAATAATGTTTGTATATGGTAACATTTGGCTGGCTTTAATATCTGCGGGACGCACTTTGTTTTGTAATCTTTGAATTGTATTTGTAATCGATTTTAGACAAATTGTTAGCGTTATTGTCTTTGCATCGATGTTGTCATTTTCTTGCCAAATTTTTTGAACTATATCGTCAGGTTAGTATTGGTTTTTGAGGTTATATGGATATCATTGTGATAGTTGCCATCAATAAATAATTTTATCAATATATAGATAATTTTCTAACTTAACGCTTAGTTGACCCGACCGAGTCAAATTATTATCTGTGGTAGCTGTAGTTAGCTATGCAAAGACTCTAACATACACAAAACTTATAAATGTAACGAGAATATGGTCTAATGCTGCGCACAAATAGGCGAATTCGAGTGGACTCCATAAGTGAGGCGACTTACACGAAACCGACATGTTAAAGGAAGTATCTAGATTTTCTTCTAATGTTTCATAATTTATTAATAACTTATCTTGTATATACGTATGACCGAATGCTAGTGGTTTAAGTTTGAGGCTCAAGGCCGAATCAAAATGGCGGTCGTCCGTAACGTCATACGTAACATTTTGTTTTATTGTCGTTGAATGTGCTAGCCTTGCGATAATGGGGATTAAAAACGATTATAAACAACAAAATAGGCTGTTGTACACGTCAAATATCAATCATTTGATCTGCTTAAGAGTCTATGTCAAGGATGATGGATGGAGAATGTTGGACGTGAGGTTAGCACATTTCGCAATACAGTCCATTAACATCCCCGTTGTTCCATACAACACTAGTATTGATTGTAAATACATTATTATTATAATATTTATAGTTAATATAGTATATGCGTTCCAGATTATTTACCCTTTATGTGTCCAATTTTATTTACGAATTATTTATTATCACGATTGAATTTGATTGTATAAAGTAGGTTAATGTTACGGTAGGAATGGTTTTGCAAAAGTTCATTTCGGAAGTGTCCAACGTCACAAATCGTTTGGGAATATTCTAGTCATTCGCGGCGTAGGATTTTGCGTGATAGGGTAGTTCATACAAATATGCTGTGCATACAATCACGACGTAGTTTGTTAATAATTGTCTCGGTGTTATTTTCTCATAGATCTACCCTCGCCCTTTCGTTGTATCATCGTAGGTAGATACTTGTGACGGTAGGTGTTAATTTCTCGAATGTCCAGTTCTAATCTTGTTACAGCTTCGATTAATGTTGAGTAAATGTCACTGTCCTATCGCTTCTAGGTGACTTTCGATATTATAAAATTATTGAGCGTAATTTAAGATCTTGAAATTTTTAAGCTTAAGTGAATTTTGGTATTGTAAATAAGTCTAAACAGTTTGTTTCGGTCACAGTAACACGATTGCTTTTTAACTGACTTAAACCGATTATCAATTCCACGTTTTTTTGTTACAAATCTGATCACAGGCACACTGACGTAGATTCATTGAACACTAACCAGTTAATTAAGATTAAAATAGGGATGTCATACTGCAGGCACTGGTCAGGAGGTGTAGGCCCGTGCCTTGCAGGGTGACCAGAGCTAAAAATAGTTTTAAGATCAAAAGTATTATCCAAATTAGGCATGCTATGTGTTATTTCTGAAATTACAATATTCTCTTAGTGTTGGATACTTGCTGATCTTTTTGTTGAGACATATCGTCAACTATTTCGAATATTTAAACTAATGCTTGAAATTCTCTTACCGTAGCCATCTCTGCATTAGTTTGATGGTATGTCTCGTTATTAATTGCGTTGAATTATTTAGCAATCTTTTGTACCTCACATTATTTATGGATCTCAATAATAATAATTGTTTAATGCGTTCTTTTCTAGTCATTTTTATAACATTCCGATGCGTTTCTTTCGAATGATAGGATAATGTATTTTGCATAGCAAAATTGTGTTTACGTAGAAATAGCTACAAATGGCGCGGAGGTGCCGTGAATTGGTAATATATTTTCTATTTAGTTTTTTTTAGGTTTGCGGAGCTTCTTACGTATTTTTGAAATTTCGACAGATCTTTTTAAATTAGATAATATAGCAGCTTAAGCTGAATTATATATTATATTTTTATAGAGTATACTCGAAAGCTATACTGTTATTTTTATAGAATAGCGGATGTTTGAGTTGACTGTTCTTCGAAACTTTGTTTTATATTTGAGGGAGCTTATGTTTAGTGCTTTTTATTATAGTGATGTGAGAGGGCTCCTTGTGATTCGATAGAGATTGTTTGTTGGGCGAGAACGATTATGAAATTATATATATTCTATATATAATTTATGGATTTCATTCAATTTATGAAAATAAGAACAATGTAATTGGTAATATTACTCATTGCTCTAAATGTACTATCAAATATATTATACACAGTGTTAAAGGTCATAAATAAAATGCTTTGAAAATTTCCAAACCGTTGTTTTAATTCTACCCTAGCCCCTATTTATAGCCCTGCAATTTTTCAACAAATATTACTTAAAATTTGCTTGCAAATAAAGTTACTTATATAAAGTCTAGATTTTTCTGATTACAATGACACTTTCGATCTTTTCTGACTCTAGCTAAAGTCACAACCTGGTACAATTTTTTATTTGGAAAAGATGGACTCTAATATAAAATCGTGTTTATGTAGGATGGATTTCTGATTCGAAGTTATAGAATAATAAATGGTAGGGAAAACAAACAGTGCAGTTATTGGCCCCTCTACAATTAGTAGCCATTTAAAGTGGCAACAAGCAAAAACTATCAACAACCTATACAAATAGTAGATTTAAAAGCTATATGATGGCAACACATGTAAATATATAATTATGAAGGAATAAATAACGTAGTAATAATATCAAATAATTAGAAAGCACAGCAAGGTTTCTAAAAACGACTTGGAGTTGCTAAATATGTCCATTCCAATCAATTTCCATCACAGCTTTATTGTAAATAAAAAGAAATAATAATTGGAGGGCAAACGAGCCCAAAAAGGGCAGTCTTAGCAAAATACATGGACATCCATTTTCAGTGGGTGCGTTGCAGGCCTTTGAGAGAGGAGTCTAACTTTGAATATTTGGACGTATCACAACGCGCTATCAGATTCAGATATTGATCTGTTTTTCGGTCGATATCAAATTCTTTGATTAATATCTCCGACTATAAAAGTGGACATATTATCATTTTGATTCACCGCATTATCGATTTACAGAAATACACATTCGTACAAGAAGGAGATATAATATGTATTGTAATTTTCTTATTATCCGTGACTAAGAGACAGTTTCCTTCAGAAAAGGGTGGTTGTAGGATCTTGTTTTTACAGAACAACAATAACGTATTTTCTAAATTTGTTGATGTAACGTGTTGACAACTTGAAATTTAGGATCCATCCAGCATTTACTGAGTACGATAATATCTGAACTTATGCCTTGCCGGTATAGGAAGAATCATATTATTATTCATATAGCTCGCTTGGTAGAGTAGTAGAATAGCGTCCACTTTTAAGAGCTTTGCTTATTTCCACACAGGTTCTATTTAGTGATCGCGTATTGTACTACTGTCCTTCGATGGCTTGGAAGGGTCATTGATTCCATTGCGATTGTGGTCAATTTCCGTTTGCACACATTCGATATTCTCTACATAAAGAAAAATGCTTAAATCGTTAAATATCATTTATTACAGTATCACAAGAGTACCAATTACTTAAAACTAGTATAAAATAACTTACTGGAACAATAACTCAATACAGTTGAGATCCCTCCGTAAACAATAAATATGTCAGTAAGGTTGATAACTTATATTTAAAATAATAATAAAAAAATATAATTTTCTATACATTTTGATCGTTGTAAACAAGTTATTCTCATGCGTGCGGCAAACTGAGAATACAACTCTTATATGCACTTGCATACGAATATTATGAGCGTACAACAGATTAGACAATCGATTTGACAGGTATACACAAATAACGGTTCTTAGGGCAGTTTATTAAACATAAATGAATTTGGATATTGTATGGGGATTAGCTAAACGTGGTCACGTGACTTTTGACCTAACGCCCGTCGTAGAATACGACACGGACACGGACCCTTTATAAATACAATCTCATTGCACTCTTTTAAAGTCTTTTGTCTCTTTCTGTCGAATTGTGAAAAGAGAGGGTTAGTGAAGGTGCAATTGGACTGTTTTTTATATTCTGAAGCAGCTAATTTATGAAAATTCATTCACGACGCAAATGGGTTTAAGTTTTTATCATAATCATCATTCTCAAATGGGTTGGTTGGATCGCTTTCATCTGCAAATGGATTTTTCGTTTCGTCATATTCCTCAAAAGGGTTGCCGTTGGATATTGCGCTAGAGATTGGGGAATCTCTATCTTTTTGAACGTGTACCGGTTCTAAGCGGGTCAAATGTGCTTCGAGGCTCGAACTGTATTTCTGCTGTTCAAGGACGCGCATACGACCTTCCGGTACTGGAACGATTGATGTCCCTTTAGGTGGTATTTGCTTTGCCGTGTTGGAGACGAAAACTGTAAAATTAGATATAATCATTAATTCCAATATTAATATTTTGTATACAGACATACCATTAATAAAGTGAAGACCAATACTTAAATAATATTTTGCATGAACGGATGTTTACTAATGGACACTTACTACCAGAAGGCTCGCAAGTGCATTGCCGGCCTTTAGAAACCAGTACGCTCTTGAAGGATTAAGTTTGATTAATTCGGATTAATTCCGAAACACTTCAATGGATAGCTGGTTCCTCATAATGGTTACTTACTCGTTACTTTATAAACCTTTGTAGCTTAAAAAAAGTGCGTGCGTACAAAGTACACGTCAGAAGTGAAACTTCTTTGGCAAACTAATTTTTAAGTCTTGTTCATATACAAATCTAAAACTTTAGATTTCCGAGACTTAGAGGGAGGGGAAAAAGGAAGATATTCATTCATATGTCATTAAAATATTGAAAGTGTCGAATATTAATACAAATTTTAAATTTAATTTTTTGAATTTATTTCTTCGATAATAAAAACACGTGGCATTTTAATTTACAATTCGTCATTTGAGATGTCAATAAATTATTTTGGATAAAATATAAAATACAAATATTTCATAAATTTTCTTTACGAAATTTTAATTTTAAAAATAGAATTTCTATAATGTTCACTCTTCTCACTCTCGCTTAATTGGTCTCAATCGCTCTCTCCCTTTTCTTCGACAAAAACGCTGCACATCTTCGTGACTAATATTATTATAATTGCGTTTCATCCGTAAAAAATTTACCCTCATGCGCCTAAGGAAGTTTCACTTCAAAAAAAGGTTTCATATGTCAGGGATAGACTGTCTATAAAAGATAAAGTAACTAACAAATTTAGACAAAGACCTATATATGGTCAGTGGGCACCACTAAAATATTTTTAATAGATTTCAACACTTGATACTCCATATAAAACCTTCCTAAACATTAAACCTATGATTAAAAACACTTACTCTCCTTGCTTTGCCCCTCCTGCAGTCTAAGTCTAGCCTCAGCGCCTGGTCCATATGAGAGTGTCGCAGTCTCAGAGACTGAACTGGACTGCGGCGGACTTGGCGTGGGGGCCTCAGTCACAACCGTCACCTTATTGAATAGACCTCGACCGAAGTATTCTGAGACTACTGCAAATCTGAAACCAGAAATGCCCACTTCAGACTAAGTAAAAAACATTTTAGTTTAACAGGCATTAGGAGAATTAAACATAAATGAATATGTGTGGTTTGGGGTTGTAAAGTATTTCTTTAAACTGATTTTAGCGACCGTAAACAATAACATCCAATTTAATTTAGAAACAACAGCCTATTTTTTTTGGATAGGGTGGATAAATTCCCTATTATAATAAGTCTAAACGAAAATTTTAGTTATACTGAAAATTGACACCAGTAGACTTCGTAATATTTTAATAAAAAATAGATATTAAATTTAAAATTAATTTTTATATTATTTATTTTTAATTTACTTTGGGTCCGTTAGAATATAATAGTGAATAAAGGCTATTTTTATTTATTTATTTATAGGATACGAGTATTTAACGTCGTTTTTGCGAGTTAGCTCTGAGAACATAAAATAATCGATAGTTTCGGATACAGTATTAATCACTCCCGCCTGGTGCCACAAATGCGTTCTGCCCATGCTGCAAATCTTCGTTTCCGCCGTCTCAAATTGGCTTCATTAACTGACTTCGGATGGCTTAAGGGAAATTGGCCTTTTTTGAGGCCTTCGCTTCGAAATGGGGTAACATAAATTACGAAAAATTAACTATTAAGAGAACAGAAGGGCGAATTTTACGAAATTTAACGAATTTCAAATTTTATTTAAATGTTAATAAACTTTAAAATAGCCATTACGTACAGTAACTACATTTTAGCTTTACAAAGAAAAATACTGTTATTCGATTAAGACTTAAAACTGGATTCCTCGAAGACGCAAAACATTTTAATAACATTACATTTACCAAACCAGTTCAATCATGTAACTAATTCGCGGTTTTTGTGTTTATAATGAGAATTGTTTATTAAGTGGTTAATAAATTATTTATTAGCGTGATTAGCCCTGATAAGATTTAAAAGATGAGTCGGTCCCAAAGTTCTTCGTAATAAATATAAGAAAAAATAAAAGTACTGATCAGTTTGTAATGAGTGATGATATCAATTCTTAGTACATTAATTAAGGAATAAAAAAGAATAAAAATATCGTCGAACCTCCCCCCCATAACCCTTTTTAATACAGGCCCTTAAGCGTCGCGGCCAGTCGTCTATCGCAGCACGCACCATTTTCGTTTCGAGGTTTTTTTTCATATTGATTTTTTAAAGATGACTTCAGATTCTCCAAATTTTCATGAGGTTATCACAGACCTTCCTCTCTAAGCCCTCGTCATAATTTCTGGTCCAAAGGATTAAGGTCCGACGGATGAAGGCAATCCTCATGTCTAATTAAGACGATGTTTTGACGCTCAAACCAGGCTTTAGTGGTCTTGGCCTTTGTTGCAGACGCAGAGTCCTGCTGAACAGAAGTGATGCCCCGCAAATAGGGTGCTGGACATGTCTTTGAAAGCGATACAAAACCGTCCCTCGGTACACTGTAGCACTGGTTTTAACCCCTTTTCGAAAAAAAACGCCTCAGTTGGCCTGGTTGACACCCCCAACACAAACCTACGATATGGTGCTGCCCATGCTGCACCCGAACTTTATTTTCTGCCGTCTCAGAACTCTGTAGGCCGTTATCGTTTATTGGAGCCTTCGCATTCGAAAAATTTTCCGTCGGTAGGGGTAATCATAAATTGCGCTACCGCTTAAACATTAACTATCTTAAGACCTATCTTTTAGACGAACAGAAGGCTCATTTTTTTATGATAGACCGAGATTTCATTTAAAACCTTTATTTAAATTTTAATAAACTTTGCAATCCATAGCTCTTTTACGTACAGTTAACAACCATTTTAGCTTTTTACAAGAAAAATACTGTTATTCGATTGCGGGGGTCCACCCAATTTTTTTTTTTTCCAAGACTTAAAACTGGTATTTATCAATAGAAGTACACAAAACTAAGCTTTTAATAAATTTTTGACTTGACAAATGTACTCCAGTTCAAGGTGCAACGCAATAACAACATTCGGTTTTTATAAGTGTTTAAAATTCGAAAATTGTTTTTTAAAGTGTTAATAAATATAATTATTAAAAAGCAGTGTTTTAAAGCCTGCTGAAATGAAGAATTCTAGTGACAAACTAGGGTCTAATATATTTGCATTAACTCTTACAAACATGAAATAGATAATATAATCTATAATAGGAAAAATATCTAATAATAATAATTATCCATCAAGTCACATAAATACTTTACTTTGAAATTTTAGTTTTTTAAATAAACTATTTGGATATTTACATTTCAATAAACCACATATTTAACTGATTTATTAACGCAGCCTTTAACATTCGGGTTAAATAAAAATTTTAACGGTTGACGCAATACAAAAAAATAAACCGTATGATTTAAAAACCACAACAGTAAAATGGGGTAGACCGAAAAGGCCTACAGGACATGTGTCAGGCCTACAGAGAGTGTCTGGAAGGTTCTGCGACCAAATAAGTAATAACCAGCGCCTTGGAACTTTCTGCTCCTCAGCATAATGCTGAGCCAGGGCCAATTACAGCCACAGCACACACGCATTACACACTTGAAAAGATCCGAAAAAGAAAATTTTTTTATATATCTCTCATTATATATTTTTTTTTATTTGATTATTGTTATTTTGTGTATTTTTGTAATAAATGATATGTCTAAGTCTAAATAAAAATACGTAAACGAGAAGAAAGAATAGGTCTTGCGATCGATTTTGTTCGCCCGTGAATATTGTAAATTATATTACCCAAGTAGCCGGGAAGTATCCTCGCGAGATGCGTAACACATATGAGTTGATTTTATTGTAAATATAAGAGATGGCAAAAAGCCCTGGCTAAGTAGACAATAAAATCAGTAAAATGGGTAATAGAAGCCCATAATTTTCACAATTAAAAGTATGACACGCAAGCGATTACAATACACAAAATACACTTTACACGTAACAATTTTTAAAACATAATTCCGAAGGTCACGAGAAGAACACGTTCCCAAAACATATATTAAAACAATTTATAAAATCTATACAACCTCACATACCCATCCTCGGATGTATTTTTGAAACAGCAAGAGAACGGTGGCAACATGTCTCCTACAATGTGTTATCAATAATTATAAATATTTTGATAACACTGCGCCCGCGCAAGTACAACTATGACATTGACGTACGACCGTGGCCACCTGTGCGTACAATTTCCTATCCGTTCTAATTAATTTCGTTAGGTAAATATTATTCGAGTTGCCATCATAATTAATGTATTCTATTATTAAGATTTATTTAAAGAAATCAGAGTTGCCATTAAAATTGCGGCTAGTAATTATTTTAATATTTTTTTATAGAGTTGTCATTTAAAAATATAATTTAAATGTCAATGATAAGATATTTACCTAATTTAATCTATTAGTAAATTACGGTCATTGTTTTCAAAATAGCGATAACACGAACTCCGATAAGAAATAAAATATGTTATTGCTTTTTAATGTTAAAGATTAACATAAATTGTTTAGCAATAAAACAGAAATCAATCATAATTTGAGTTTTGTGTTAAAAAAATAAAAATACAAAAATTTGTTATAACTATTTGTATAACTATTTAAGATTCAGATTCTGATGGTCCTTGAGTTATATTTGGTTTATCAGCTTTGCAATATTAAACTCCTGATTTTTAAGGCTAAAAAGGCGTTGCTTTAGAACCTTTTAGAAGTCCAAGAGATTTATAAAATACTATCTGCACCCCACCCGTGAACTTTGTTTCTCCTTTATTTTTTATTGTGATTTGACTTAGCCTACCTTTTTAGTACAAACCAACATGGAACATTTTGCTATGCTACCCCAGATACTGTTCGGTTTTCCTGGAATGAAAACCTATTTAAGTTTTTCGAGTGAATTTATTTCTTATATGGAAACCTGAAAGTTCAAGTCATAAAAAAGTAAGATTTGTGAATTAACAAAATAAAAAAATAGGGTTGATCGTAGAGGGGTGAACCATTAAGAGTTCATTGTACTTTTTAAGTATGATAAAAAAATAAAAACTAAAAAAATATCCTAAAAATAAACATAAAAATTTAGGGGTGGACCAACCCTTAACGTTTAGGGTTGTTTGAAAGATAGATAGTAGACTTGCTAATGAAATGTTAATAAAAAAATGATAAGAATCGGTCAAGCCGTTTCGGAGGACGTTAATGGGAACAGAACATTGTGAAACCGAGAATTCTAAACATTGAGATTTAATAGATCGTTGTTTTGGGACGAATTTTTATAGGTAGGGAAAAGTATTTTTCGGGGAAGTGTGATCTTGCTAATAAAAACGTTATTATTAATGTCTGTTCGTAACATCACAGTTTTATATTATGGTAGCTGTCTAATGCAAAATATTTTTCCTTCATTTGCTATTGAGGCATCTCATTGAGTGTAAAAAGTTTTAATTTATAATACGTTTAGAAATAGTTATAAAGAGAATAAATAAACCTATATTTATCCGAAAAAAATGTATTGTTTGTCTGTTCATAAAATCTGAGCTCTTAATTCTGTAAACTGTGCATTTATGTCTAAAAATTATTTGTCTTAAATGAGGCAACAAAGCTTAATTTATATCTAAAAAAAAAAAATACCAATAAGATTTATTGAGTACTCCCTCCAGTCATTGGCAGTCGCTCTTGATTGGAAGTAACAAATAAATTGAACCAACTGAATTATTAGACACCTAACATGCCATTAAAACAAACACATCAAAATGTAAAGAATTTAATGGGTAATTTTTCAATCTGGAACATCGCACCATGAAACGCTATGGTCATGGTAACATCAGTTTCATCGGGAATATTTTATTATGAATCAACGATCAAGCTATGCTAATCCCTACCGCATAAATAATGTATACTTAAAAAAACGAAGCATAGGAAAATATAAATTTCTTTAAGTTACTTGTATTGCGTAATTGCATACGTTTTTCACTAGGCGCAATTTATTTATTATTGAAAGGTCACAGAGGAAAAAACACATGATTACAAAATTTTATTAACCGGCTAACTAAAGTAAAAACAGTAGAAAATTAGATATAATCAAAACTAATTTGAAGATTATTTTTATAGAGACAGGCACCTTAGATCGAGGGAAATGTTAAACGAGAGACTTAACGACTGTATGCTCGTTAAACACGCGTTTACATACGTCATGTTACGTCCAATTGACCAATCACAACGTTTCGTCTTGCGTCTATGAATTCTCTATATCTCGACATGTTTTAGACCAAAAAGTGTAAGGTAAAAGGGGCAAAAAGTAAAAAAGAGGGGGTTAAAAATTAGTTAATACGGAAGGTTACCTACTGGTCTAGTTTATTTTTATGTATCTTTGTAAGTAATGAGTTAGAAGGAAGTTTTATTATGACTGAAATGTCTGCCCCTTGACATGGAGTGACCAGACTTACAGCAAGCCAATTCGTATAAATATATATAACTTAAGATATTATACATAATGCGACGGCTACTAACTATAGACGAAATATACACTTCTGCAAATACAAGTACAATTTTTGAGCTTACATTTTTAACTTTATCGCAATAAAAGTTTGGCGGACTTTGATCACAAATAATCTCTACACCATACAAATAAGACACATATAATACATACGGATCGTGTTGTTGCTGCAATCTCGAATGTAGGGCTTCGGCCGCGTGGGGCAAAGCCTCTGGTCTTCGGGAAGGCGCCGCACAGGCAGGACACTCCCTTTCCGTTTCGCTATACGTTTGGAAACAACTGCAAACAATTGTTAAATTAAAGGCCGTGCTTAGTAGAAAGCGCATAGTTATATTTCAACAACTTTACATATCACCATTATAAATAACGAACTGCCTTCGTTAGTTTGTTTAGGTAAGGTCAGTTTATAGGTGAAAGGTCTGTGAAGGATACTTGCTGTATGAAGTATCTTCACAAACTAACAATGGGTGTGTGTGTGGTGGGTGGAGGTGGTGGACCCCCAAGGTCTCCACACCCATTGTTGGGTGACGACCCATAGCATGTCGGGAAGCAGATAAAGCCGCCTTGGGGTTTTAGTGGGTATGCACAATCCCAATCCTTCCCGCCCTAAGCGCTGCGGCAGGGTATGCGAAATGCATTTCCCCAAGTATTAAAAAAAAAAAGTTTATAGGTGAAAACCGTACACAAATCAGTTCGGTAGTTCTGGCGTATATAGACGCAGCCGGGGTTTGTAAGGTAAGGGAAGATTAATCAGTTTAGTAAAAAAAAAATTGTGTATAACTGTAGACAAAATTAAAATGTATATTTTTTCTCAAAACTATTCAGATTTATTTTCAAACACTAATTAAAATTAATTTTGTGTACATTATAAGAATATTTTATAAATTTTGTCGGGTAATTAACTAAATAACCTATTCATCTCTTTTCGCCAATGCGTATACGCAATTAAACAAAAAGAGACAAAAGAGAATTGAAATGATTTAATTTTAAAAACATTTTTTTCGAAATGAATCATTACTCACTCTTGGTGATAGGAATGTTGGCAGAGGAAATGTACAGTGGGTAGTTCTAGAGGTCGATTGCAGGCTGCACATCTGGAAGACTGGAATGTCACTGGTTCATGCTGGATCACCTGTAGATGATAACAGTGAATCGTAAAGTTTTGTTTTCTTCTAATGAAGAGTGACGAAGAGTTTCTAGTCACTTCTCGTTCTAAGTTTGTTTTAAATGTAAATTTAGTTATTTTTTTATTAAAGTGATACCTATATATAAACTAGCTACCCCTCGCACTTACCCCCCTTACCTTACCCCTCGACTGCGTGGATTCTGGATTTTTCATGATTTTTTTGCAACAACAAAAATATTTCAGTGAATTTACTTAAAACCATTACTTTACATTTAAACCTTTTTTAAGAAACTTTTTTGTGTGAACAAAATCCGTTCAGTATTTTTAAGTTAAGTTAATTTTGTATGCAAACACGACTGAAATAACAATATTAAAATATTTTCTGCGCATATCACGTGACCATACTTCATGATTCATACAAATAATGTCCAGGTGAATCAACGGTTCACAAAACCGTCCGGTTTCTTGAAAAGGTGGGTTAATATGTTGCGTCTTCGACTTTGCGAACGTATTTGAAATTTATTTATCTATCTCATAGAAATAAACACTGGCGCGACAACCTTTTGAGGTCTTGCTAGGCCTCAGTGTATGTATTTGTGTATCTGTCTTGTGTTTGTTTTACTGTCTAAGTAAGTCCTTTTCCTTCATCGTACGGGCGAGTTAAGTAGGCACATAAAAAGAAAATTGTATTGGTGCACAACCGTGTTTCAGTCTGTGCACCAGTCAGTCAGTTCAGACCTCAGGGTCGTGTACTCTGAGGACCACAGATAACAGCATTTCACAGAACGTCTTTTGTTCCTTGAGGATAGTTATTAAAAAATTATTTAAAATATTTTACGAAGAATAATCACACTATTTTAACGCAGATGTTCTACTAAACTATTCCATTTAGGGGTTACTATACTTTATTTAATTGGTAATAATAGGAAAGTCTTTCTCAACTCACCTGTATATGAGCTTTCATCTTCTCAATCTCTTTCTTATATTTGGTAGCCAACTCTTGTTCGCGGGTTATAACTTCGTCTTCCGATTTAAGAACGTCCATTAGGTATCTAAAAGAATTCACTTCTGATATATTTTAAATCCATTATATAAAATGAACATAATTAAATTTGGGATTCTCGTGTCGATCCAGATTTCACTCATGCACTTTATAAAAAAGCCAAAAATGGCTCCAAATGAGACGCATCAGAGGTCCAAAGGTCCTTCTTCAAAAACTATTTACAATTCTGTATATTTAATGCACAATATGTTTCACTCATAATTTTATTTAAATGTGTTATCGGCCTAGTCGACTTTGAGTTTATTCGTAATCAACATACATAATAAATAACGTATATTATAAAGAGGAAATATTTGTATTTTATAGGAATTTTTTTGAATATATTATTTTCGGCCCTAAGCAGTTTAAATCTAAAAACAGTCGGGTAGTTTATTTAATAATTAAAATAGAAATAATTATAAATAAACATCAATCGATTAAATCATTGATTAGTTGAATATTTGTATTCAATCAAAGTCTGTTATAACGACATTTAATGGACTACTCATATATTTTGGTCGTAAAAACCGATAGTCGTAACAGCCGATGACGTTGTTATTAACCTAATACAATAGAATTCAGCCGGGACCTTTGCTTTTGGCCAATAACACCGGTATGTTGTTCTAAACGGTTTTAACTGTATATATTATTAATAAATACATTGGTATATATCACTTTGCGTACTTTCGAACGTCCCCGAGCGTGTACGTAGGCGTGCTCGCTAAGCAGTCTACGACTAGAATTGGTGACATCAGCTTTTCAGTCGCTGCAACGAAACATAGGTCAAATTAAATATTGTATACTAAACAGTTATAATAATATGAGCCTTTTATTTCGGATAAATTTCCACTTTTATTCTATCATCTATTTTTTTTAAATATCTATATGTATTTGGCAAAGGCCTCTTCCAAATCCCGCAATTCCTGTTTGCACTGTGCCACTCTCAGCACATGTACCTGCTGTTTCCTTAAACTGGTCTTTCCACCTTCTAAATTGTCTTCTTTTTTTGCATTTATTGTACTTTGGCCACCAGTTAAATACTTTCTTGTTCCTCTTGCCATGTGCCCAGCCCATTTCCAATTAAGCTTATTTATTTTTATAGTAACACTAGCTGATCCGGCAAACGTCGTTTTGCCATGTATATCATTTATAATAAAAAATAGGGGTTGATCGTAGAGGGGTGAAAATTAGGGGTTGTATGTATTTTTTAATGCTGTATCATAAAAAAATAAAAACTAAAAATTTTGTCTAAAAAATAAAATAAAAAAATGTAGGGGTGGACTACCCCTAACATTTAGGGGGATGAAAAATAGATGTTGGCCGATTCTCATAGATACCGGATAAGCACAAAAAATTTCATCAAAATCGGTCAAGCCGTTTCGGAGGAGTATGGCAACGAAAACTGTGACACGAGAATTTTATATATTAGATTATACAGTTATACTAGCTTAAATGTCTATTTATTTCTGTTTAAAAGTGCCTCAGTTGTGACTGTATAGGTAGAATAATTTTGAAAATAAATAGTTTAATAATAAAATTAAATTCCTCACCAACAACATGCAATAAATCAGGCAAGCATCGAGGCGGGGGCGGCGTCCATAAAACGTCCAACCATAGACGAGGACAAACCGCGCCCCGTCTTCGACATACGGCCAACGCGAGATCGGCTTCACCACTGCGCATGTGCAGGGACACTTGAGCACGCCATCTATTGGGGATTTGGGAAATTATTTACAACACTTAAACGGAGGAACCGGTATGTCTAAACCCAATCTACATGTCAGACACAGGAGGGCGACAGTACTTACACAAGGTTTCTGTAAGTACTGTCGCTTTGGGCAGGAGGCTCATCTGCTGTTAAGTGGTACCATGGATACTCGCGATGTCAGAGAGCTCTCAAGTGCGTTGGTGGCTTTTTAAGAAATCATACGATATTTTCTTGCGTGTTCGTAACGACTTCTGATAGGGCTTAAGGTAGTTTCTATTAATATCAAGGCTGTATGACGAAACATGAGTTTTTTTTACATAGAACAAGAGCAAATGGGCAGGAGGTTCATCTGATGATAAGTGATACCGCTGCTCAATGCCAGAGGGCTCGCGAGTGCGTTGCCGGCCTTTTAAGTGAGTTTTTATGACTATATCAGACTAAACTAAGTAACAATTCCATAACAGAATAATGTATTATTGAATAAAACGTCCTAATGTTTAAAGATTAGTTTTAACTTACAATTTCTTCTCTTCATACAGATGTAATATGCCAGCTTTGAATCCCAACATTTGACAAATGATCAGGGTGTGGTCTTTATCATAGTTCGACTCTGGTTCCTTGAGCACACTCAGTATTTTCTGTTCATATATTAATTTTTCACTGTTGGGTGATTTCGCCCTGTAATATGATTAACTAGATCTTAAGATTTTCTTAAGAAAATTAAGTTTTTCTCTTTTTCTCATGAAAGTGGAAAGCTATATGCGTTTATCTTGCCTTTAAAGTTTTTGCCACATTATCATCATACATACGGACATATTTCTGCACCTTTTTACTCATCATTTTGTCAGAAATCCTAGGAATCGTGCCCATAATAATATTAAGCTTTATTATTGTTACGGTTTCACAACTATTAACGTTTTTATATTCAAAATCAAATAAGAAAGGCTATTACAAGACATATTTTTTAAATATTACTAATTAATTTAATACGTCATAACAATAAATACGTCAAAGATACGGTTTTATTATTACTTTAAAATATTGGTCCTTCGATCCAGAATACTCACCATACATGAATATAATGTTCAATCAGGGCATCAAAAACAAGGGTAGAGCATTTGACATCTGTTGATATCATGTGTTCCAAGAAGATGATCAGTTTCTCTGAGTTACTAAGGAACATGTGAATAAAGTCGTCAGGAATAGAACGATCGGGTTCCCGATATCTACCGACAAGCGACGATTCGTCAACTAACGGCTTACTACGTGGTTTGTAGTCTGTACACATTACTGGAAAAGATATGAAATGTATTAATAGTGCATTACTAGGTTGTTAAACTATTTTTAAAGTAATCACTTTTAAGATTCGTTATAAGAAAACATTTTATTATTTACTAGCTGGCCTGGCGAACATGGTACCGCCTAACAGTCGATTCTTTATTTTTTTTAAATACTTATTCTGCTATTCGGGACACCGGTCTAGCTAGTAAGATAAAAAAAAGAAAGTTGATAATACAACAAATACATTATGTCAAAAAATTAAAATGTACCTTCCCGGAACCCCTCCACTAACACTTGAACTTTATGGTATGGTATTAAAGTTCAAATTGACTTTTAAGTTTTATTACGAAAATTTTGTATGGGAATATAGAAAAGTGTTGTTTTTAGACATTTTCACTCAATTTTTTTAATAACCATCCTCGTACTTCAAGGAATATTATAAAAAAAGAATCAGACAAATCGGTCAAGCCGTTTTCATGTTATGTCGTGACGGAAAACGGGTTTCATTTTTAGATATATAGATTTAAAATAATAATGCCGCTTCGAGAGTTCTAGTAAGCGAATTTTGTTTAATCGATATTAGAATCAAAAAATAAATATTCCATAGCTATATACGTAAAGGTATTAGACAAGATCCACGAGGTTCAAACACCACAAAGTGATTAGGACTAACACACAAATCACAATCCCGTTTTATACTTTTAGAATCCATCCGGCATTTGACCCGAACCATCAAGTCGCATACTTAATTTTGTCTATAAATCGCTTCAAATACATATTAATAAATTATGATCATTTTCATTCATTCACTTTTTACTTTATTTTTAGTTTTTAAGTACATTTTATTTTAAGTTCACCAAAAGCAGCTGAGCGGTTTTTTACCGACTTTGATTAATTCGATGAAGTCGGTTTTTAGCTCTGAATTGACAGGGTCACTGACGAGGGCAGTTTTTAAGGTGTTTTTAGGTACTGTGCTGGCATCATCCGAATCCGTTAAGTCGTGTCAAGGCCTCCTACAGGCCATGTTCCGGAACTGTCGGTGAGTCTCGTCAGTTAACATAGCATCAGCTTATATACAGAGCGACGGTTTCCTAGTGTTCGTCGGTGAACGTCGACGCGCGGAAACTCAGGTATGTTGACCTGTTCCGGTATGTGTGTATGTACATTGTGTTACAGTATATTTATTAAAGTATACATGATATAAAATAAACATTCTATAGTACAATCTATTTACTCTAAAATACGTGAACATATATTTTACATATAATAATAAAAATATTACATTATTATTCTAACCAATACTTACATTTTAACAACTCCGTACTCTCTTCCGGTTCATGTTGTATCAATTTATGGCCGTATTTCTTCATATAGCAGTCGGCATCGTCAAATTCTAACTCCGCTATATAATCGAGGGCTTGTTTAAATTCTTTTTTGTCTTCAATCATCATTTTGAGATACCAATCGTGTCTGTTATGATTCGCTGCTAATGAGAGGGCATCGTCTATGCTTACTTGTCGGACTACCTATAAGGTTTGTATAATTTTTAGTAGTAATTATCACACATATACAATATTATTAGTATTTAATTTTTGGAATAAAGAATTTGTATTTTAGATTTTTTAAGTATTGTATGTAGGTATTTACATTTAAATTCACAAAAATTGTGTATATCATCAATACTATGGGTAATTAATTATATACTTGATGACCCAAAAGACATTGTCATCCTGTCTTAAATAAAAAAATAAAAATAAAAATTATTAATTAACACGCACAAAATTATATATTTATATAAGGATTAGAAAAAAAATCGATTTATGCATTATTCGTATTACCAATTTTAAGAGTATTATTGTTATTAATTAAAAATTTGATCATCAGATATGCATTGTAAAACAGTTCGCCTTTGATAGAATTTTTTTTTTAATTTAACGACAATTAAAAAAGGTTCGATACCGTAAACAAAAACAATTATTTGAGATTGATATTAATTGTTTATTATTTAATGCAACATACCTTTATAGCGACATCCACGTCAAAATCTATGGCCTTGTCCTTAGAATTGATGAACAGTTTCAATTTCCCTTGTTGGTCGTGTTGATCTATTTTGACGTAACATGTCAATAATAGAGTAGTATGGTCCTCTGTGGCAAATCCCTTAAAGAGATTTGTAGACTAATTAGTGGGTATAAAACTGACTAGACTTATTTTTAACTAAAAAAATCTATGCGCGAAATTCCTACCTTACACTCAATAAATGTCGTCTTACAGATTGAACTTAATTTATGATTTTATGAATGTAATACAATGAATACAAAATAAATATTAAGATCACTACTTCAGTAAGAAATTAACACAAAAAGTGTCTGAACGCACGCGTAAATATTTGTCAACCAATATCCTAATTTTTAATTCCAAGACACACCAAACTAATGATTTCTTTGAAAGATGCATTTTAATTTTGAAAAATTACTTTAAGACAAACGCAAAATGTGTGTAAATTACAAGTACAAGGAATATGTCTATCAAAGAAAATATAAGAAATAGAGTTAAATAATTTTGACATATCTTCTAGTGGGAGAAAATTCACTCTAATTCGTAGCAGAAGAGCTAAAACAACTGCGCATCTAGCTTTGAACCCGTGTACTAGAGATTAACATATATTTCATTAAAAAATACTAATTGGACTCATTTATAGTAATCTTTCGTCTCATTCTCTCAAACTGTTTTTACACTGTAACGAATAGGGACAGATAAGATCTTTTAAGATGCAATTAGATTTTATTTAAAACGAAACATGTAATTGGTGAAACGGAACGACGTACTGCTTGTGTCAACCTATTAACCAATGAAATTGGGGGCCTCATAGCCTAGCGGTCTTATTAAGTGGCAGCTAGGTGAGGGGTACCGGGTTCGATTCCCGGTTCGAGGGCAAGTTTTAATTTAATTTAAATTTGTTCTCGGCCTTTGGGAGGGTTGTGCGGTACCGGGCGAGTGCTTAAACCGTACATAGAGGACACTGTCGAATTTCTAAAAGACAAGCACGAATTATAAAAAATCCTATACTTGACGCTGGCTAATGCACAAATCGTGCCAGAGCCATAATTAAAAAAAAAATAAAAAAAACCAATGACAATTAAGCAAATTCTTCCTAAGAATTTCGGAATGTTTACCTTTTTATGTAATTCTTCTAAATACTGTATGAGCGGCTCCAAGTGTCTCGGCTCCAAATATTTCCGTATAACATAAGATGTCTCGAGCCGACCAATCGTTTTTACGTACTGATATATTGCGCCTTTAAGGTCTCCCTGAAATTTTGTTTAAAATACTCAATATATGAAAAATAAAAAAGCTCCTAGGGGAGCGTTCAAGTATTACGTAACGCAATTTTTGGAGATTATTGAGCCCCCCCCATGAACTCGCCGTAACGTTTTTCAGACCCCTCCCAAAATTCGTTACGTAATACTTGAACGCTTCCTAGTTACTTAAAGCAACATTTTATGTTTCTCTCTGGCGGTAGTTTTGACTTGCCTTCCTTAGACAATCTCATTCTTGAAACTCCTACTCATAAAACTGAATTGTATCACTCCTCTTTTACTGTGCAAAGTATCCTGCTATGGAATTCCTTACCAAGTGATATCAGACGAGCTCTCGTACTTTAAATTTATTTAAAAAGCTTCTTTTTGATCATTTCATCATCTATATTAATTATAGTGTCTCAGTTAACCTTTTGATTGGCATGTCAATTTTTGTTTATACATATTTTTATTTATTATTAGATTTTACTTTATTTTATTTATATGTTATTTTGAGTTTTTTTTGTTAATTATTTATCCACGTCTTGTTTTTTACCCTCTGTAGGTGTTTTTTTTATTGTTCCATTTTAGGGATGCCTGGAAGAAATCGCTTGACAGCGATAAGGCCGCCCGTTGCCTTATAACTTATGTAACCTGCTTTCTAATTTTTTTTATTTGTATGTTTTTGTATAAGATAATAAAGTGTAAATAAATATATGAAAAATATTGAATTAAAAAACATATTGCTCTTTTGTTAGGTCTGTGGTTTCGAAGCTCAACAACTCAAGAATCTTAAACTATAGGTTCTGTTCCTTGCACCTCAATTAATAATGTTAAAAATATTTTTCAACAAATTGTTGTCCTTACGGCTTTATTCAGTTAGGGCACGCCCTATTAAATAAATAAGAAAAAAGGGTGCGTGTACTTATGTACGCTCGTAAGAAGTTATACATCTTTGGCTTTCTTTATTTTTGGAAATATTAAATAATTAATAATAAATATTTAACGTTAATAATTTAATAATATTTAGTATATGTATTATTCAATTATTAATTAATATTAATGATAATTATTATTTATTATTTTATTATATTATTCATTCAATTTAATAACTAGGTATGTTTTATAACCTTTAAACTAAGTAACAATAGGTCTTTGTGAAAAAGCATTGCTAAATTTGTTTGAAAAAATAATTAAAACTCCTTTATTTGTTTAAAAGGTACTACAAAGGTCATTATGGTCATTCAAAATTCTTGGCATAGCTGCTAACGTCACGCATATTCTATTTCTTTTTACTTGTAGATTGTCTTATTCCCATCTCGCTCGCTCGCGCACGCTCGGCGCCCGGCTGGTTTAAAAACTATTCGTTAGTGGGCAACTTCATTCTGTTAATTTTGTGTCACGGTGCGCGCGCATCGTCAATATCACTCTCATCAATTTTTCATAACGCGCCTAAAGAAGTATAACTTCAATAAGTTCATAATAAAATTTAAAACCAAATACCTTGCTATATAAATGATCGCCATACTGTTTATATATCTCCGTGAGCCCCTCCGCATCATAATGCTGACTACTCGCGATCCTTATCGCAACATCATAGAGATTCTTTTTGAATAGCAAAGACAACTTCGACTGCAGATCCTTCTCATCCAAATATATCATTTCCTTTTTCTTCGTTAGAATATAGAAAGATCCCCACTCTGTCAAAACTGCATCAATTTCCTCGAATGTCTTCGAGAAGACGATGAATTTGTTTTGTATGTCTAGAATTGTGACGTGGTGGGATTTGGGCGTGGTGGATGAGCCGGATGGCTTCGTGGAGGTTTCGCTTGTAGTGATCACGAGGTAACTGCGGAACCAATTAAGACGGAGCTTTTCGCCTTCTAAAGCGTAGCAGGGACCCCGCCCTTCGGTGGTATAGCAGTATATCGCCTACAATTTATTCATTCAAAATTAGCACGATAGACAGATAATCTTATCAAAGTGGATTTAAAATTTAGATTTAAATTTTAAACACGAGTTTTTTATTTTATTATCTGTATAGACTAGCTACCTGGTTTGATTGTCATATAAATGTATTAAAATAATACAAATATTATGTCTTAAAAATCCTTATTTTCTCTCTTTGATCGGTAGCTCATGCGTTGTCGACTTGAGCACACTAGCTTTTTTATTCTGACCAGTAAAACTCAAACTTAAAATTCATTATACGCATACATATAGGTATCCAAGTACATTTATGAAAATCAACAGGTAATATGTTAAATTGATTCTAAATTTACATTTACTACCAGTTCGCAAGTCATGGGCGTAGAGCGGGCAAGTAGAACTGGCAAGAAACTCTTCGCCACTCATTTTAATCGCAAAGTTTTGAGTCATACAAATTGTTCAAACTGGAGCAAATTAATCCCAAGTATTAGGATCACTTAAATAATAAAATTTATAAAGTAAGGTCAGAAAATCTTTAATAATATTATTTTATGAAGGAAAAACGGATCGATAAACTTAAAAACGACTGGACAACTGGATTCATTCACCATACCCTAAGGTCATAAAAGAATAATTCCTAAGATTATCACATTCAAACAGCCTTTGGCTCAATATAGATTACTGACCTCACTTGTAGCGACAGTGAGTCTATGCCTATCAGCCAAAACACTGCAGCCAGCCACCGCTCCCATAGAATCAAGAACTACACATTTGTCACTATTCACATAGGACACCATAATGCAATTACGGGATACTATGAATAATTTATCAGTGTCTCTGTAAGAGAAAATTTATGATTTTAATAAGTGAAATAAATGTGAAGTGTTTTGGTTTTTCTCAATAAAACTGACTGTTATGAATGCCTTCTAAACATTTACTGTCACTGTATGTTTAAAGTAATGTTTTAAAGGCCGGCAACGCACTCGCGAGCTGTATGGCATTGAGTGTCCATGGGCGGCGTGGTGGTATACTTAACATCAGGTGAGCCCATCGTTTGCCCCCTATTCTATAAAAAAAAACATGTGGCACTCGGGGACTGCCGCGTCTATATAAAAATTGAAATAATATCAAAGAAAAACCTTGAATTAATATCAAAGTAAAACAAATACTGCATAAATAAAAAATAAATAAATAATTATAACTGCATAAGTTGATAAAAATGCTAAGCAATAGCTTAAAAAAACCTTTTCTACTATACTATAATCATGTCTTATCTAGAAGCAGTGTATTTACTTGAAAGCAAGTCCTGTGATGGGGCTAGTACCGGTGTCTGATAATGTTTTCATTTTACCACGTTGTCTTGCTATATCTCCACGAAACAGTGATACAGAGCCATCTTGAAAACCTACAGCTAGAAGATTCTGGAAAATTTAATTTTTTTGTGTATATCAGAAACCATATTTATAGTTGTTATTTTATTTTTAAATTTATGTTTAGTTTTGTTGAAAATCTTCTTCTAAATACAAGTTGCAGCAGTGTTGGCCTAGTGGCTTCAACGTGCGACTCTCATCCCTTAGGTCGTAGGTTCGATCCCCGGCTGTGCACCAATGGACTTTCTTTCTATGTGCACATTTAACATTTGCTTGAATGGTTAAGGAAAACATCGTGAGGAAACCGACATGTCTTTGACCCATAAAGTCGACGGCATGTGTCAGGCACTAGACGCTGATCACCTACTTGCCTATTAAATTTAAAAATGATCATGAAACAGTTTCAGAAACCTGAGGCCAAGACCTAAAGAGGTTGTAGACCACTGTTTATTTTTTAAATACAGGTTGCAGCTGCTTCAATAAGAGATATGTTTTGTTTTGGAAGGATTAAGGAGCCATTAATAGCCTAATTATATGTAAAGAATTTAAGAATTTCAAAGAAATTTCGACTATAATACCTTATTATCATGTACGGCTAATGCTGTGGCCGGAGTGGGAAACATATGTGAGGGCACAGCCCTTGATGTTCTCACACATTTGGGGTTCCCATGCCGGTCAACCCTTGACCAATCCCATACTTTTATTAACGGAGTTACACCAGTTTCATCCTCCTGCATAAAATAATTTTTTATAACAAAAAATATCAGAAAAGAATTATATTATATATGTTTTGACAGTTTTAATTAAGTTTTTGTAGAGTTTTAATATATAGATTTCTATTAATATTTTGGAAGTAGTTTTCTATTATAAATAAAAAAAATATTACCCCTATTGTCACCAACAGAGTATCATGTGGCAATTGTTGGGCATGTGTTATTATGAGTTCATATGCTTTAAATGATGTGATCTCCCATGAACGGGAGATTAGGTGGGCCCAGCCTGTCAAGTCACAGAGTATGACATGATTATTTCCACTTGTAGCTACTGTTACATGAGTGTCCTGAAAATATTAAATAAAAAGGAATAAAATTATACAACTTAAGCTTACCAAGAACATTTATAGTTTCTTTGAGCAATAATTGGTTTTAATTGTGGTATTAAAGCCAAACCTTTAGTGCTGAGTATTCAAAAAGGCAGTAATGGCTTTGTTTACAACCCAACATACATACAAGTCTTGCTTAGGCACCTTTAATACTTGGTATGTGCTATTGAGTTCAGAGCACTGCTAATTGAGTTGAAGTTGCAGTTACATACAATTGAGATAACTTATCTGTATTTTTTTAAGTGCGTCAAATATAATAAATTATTAGTGTGTAAACCAAAGTAGTATGGCTTCAAGTAACTAACTACATTATACGGTAATGATCTTTAAAATAAAACAGTTATTTACATACCTGTAGGCACTCAGCAATTTTTCCATTATCTATATTATTATGGACATCAAAAAAGGTAAATCGGCGCCACTGTAATGAATTGATAATCATATAATTAATATTGTTAATAAAGTAGCATATTATGTGTAGTAGCAGTATATTATGGGAGTAACAAAACACAAAACATTGTACTTGTAAAAATAGCAATATCATTAAAATAATAATAAATGTACCTCTAAAAATGCCATTTTACACGTCTAATATGGCGCAGCATGGAGAGAGAATAACCAATTATTTTGTTAAGAACCAATTCCAAATTCCTTACAATAAAATAGAAAATTTATTTAATCAACAATTCACCCACAAAAATAAATTAACGATGTCAATCTCGATTCGATGACATTTGTAATTTGACGGTAGAGTGATAGTCAAAGTCAGTACTATAATGAAAAAGTTACGTTCTGAAATTTAACCACTCAAGTCATTTAATTCCTTTTTATCCAAAGTTGTTTTAACAGTGCTATTTCTAAGTAAAACAATTATTTTCACATATTGTTTATTCAACAATTGTTACCAATGTATAAAGTTGGTGATACTCTATGGACATTATCGTTAATTTAATGTTGTTTAGTCCTTCGTTTAATTTTTTTAGACTTGGTGTTGTTTGCTTTCTTCTTACACTGTAAATAAAAAAAGGGCGAACGCATTAAAGATTGCTGCTAATCTGAGTATTGGTGTTGTAAATTTAAACAAAAACTATACTCACGTTATATTATTTGTTTGCTTTAGATACGGTAAGGAAGAATATTTTCCTATTGGCGCCTTATTCGTTTCTAATGATATGTTGGCTACGATCAATCTGAAATATGATCGATTTATAGTCAAGAATAAGCCTTCTTTCCCAACGGAATGTCATGTCAATAAATCAATTTTACCTTCGATACATATCTATGTAATCATCATCATCATTCCAAGCAAGATTTGAAAACCCGTTAGCTTTGGTAAATTTTTCCGGCTGAATAGAAATGGCACCACCAAATCTAATGAAAATAATAATAATAGTAAAGGCTTCGTTCCCAAAAAATAGATTTTTATTAATTAAAAATATTTGTAAATATTTATAGTAAAACCTAAAATTAATATTATATATTATATTTATTTAAACTTAAATTTCCTTATGAATCTCAAACAATTTTTACTTAGATGACAACTCAAAATGCGGTTATTATAATGTTATAAATTATTTTATCCGACCTTGGAGGCATACGTGTATCTGCCACCAGTCTTTTAGGACGGCTCCCACAACGGTATAGGTTCCTCGTATCTTCAGGAACTAAGTGAGGGTCATGGAATATGAAGCACATCCAACCTTCTGCTCGCTTCGTTTGAGCCACTTCGAAACCAATGTTGTACAGTTGACCACGCTTGTATGGGGTCGTTGCGTTTACTAGAAAAATAAAAATGTATGGCCCAAATAGTCACGTCTCATAATATTGTGTCTCGTTTTAATATTTTCAAAGGGACTCGAGAGCGATAAGGATAAAACATTCAAAGAAACTTGGTTAATCTACATATATATATATATATATATATATATATGGATAATGGTCTTCGTTTGAGGCTCCTTCACGCCTAAACCACAGATCGTATCGACATGAAACTACTGCCATTCGATGCGAAATTCCAACGTTCCTTCATTTTTTTTTGCTGTTTTACTTTTATGAAAATTTATACATACGGACTTTACCGCGGAAACATTCGGGGAGGCTTCCTAGAACCTCAAAACGTCAACATCTGTTAAAATTTTTTTACTCTCATCCTGAGGTCGTATTTTCGATCCCCGGCTGTGCGAGAAGGGGGGGGGGGGGACCAATTTCAATTTTGCGGGAAGTTAGCAAAAAGCGCTGCACTAGAATAATAAAAATATGAAAATAATAATAATAATGAAACATAAAATTTTATTTATTTCCTATTTTAATTCGCCCAGCAAAGCGGGCGGCAAACGGCTAGTAGGTAGTGTAAAAGTACTAATTGTTCCCTGCAGGATGTTGTAATATTAAAATTATATGATTTGACTAACATTTGCTGATAACAAATATCTGGTAGGCAAGTTGTTGTTTCATCAAAAATGGATGCATGTAATATAGAAAACTAGTCAAATATTTTCGCATATGTCTGTAAAAGATAATTGTAAATAAAGGTATTGATACTTAATTATATTCTACTACGTCGCATATAGTTGTGTTGTGTGTTGGAAGTACCAAAACGTATCCTTTTTTCAAATAAGTTTCTTTTTTTAAGAGTCATATTTTTCTATATAACCAAGAAGCTAGTTTTAATATCAAGCCATAAAAACTTATTTCCTCGAATTAAAATCAAGAAAGCGTGCCAGCGGTTAAACTTTATCACTTAAACTAATAACGATTTAGGCCAATAGTACCTATGAATTTTAACTTTCATAAAGGCAAATGTATAGAAAGAAAGAAAAACTATATAAATATGTTTTTGTCAAAGGTTTATAATATTTTACAGTGCAGTGTTGGCCTAGTGGCTTCAGCGTGCGACTCTCATCCCTGAGGTTGTATGTTCGATCCCCGGCTGTGCACCAATGGACTTCTCTACGTGCGCATTTAATTCGCTCGGACGGTAAAGGTAAACGTCGTGAGGAATCCGACATGTCTTGGAGCCAAAAAGTCGACCTACTTGCCTATTAGATTGATAAATGATCAACAGATTCAGAAATCTGAGGTCCAGACCTAAAGAGGTTGTAGCGCTACTGATTTTTTAAAATAATATTTTACATGTTTAAATCGGTATCAATTTTATATTTCAATAATTAGACAGGCGCTTCGGCATTCATTATGATATATTTTAAATGGTGAACTTTTTTTGTCATCTGTCAAATCTTATGGGCCACCTTTTGACAGATGGGAGACTTCGCACATAGAGTCGCCCCTATTGGCCTTAGCCAATTAGCAAGCAAGTTGTAGCCATAGATATACTTAGAAAATATCTACGAAATAGACGCTGAAATCCCAGTTTTAATTAATTAATAATACTTATTAGTGTCATGCAGTGGTACAATTATCGCGGCATTTTGTCTCGCAATACACGCAGAGGGTGAGTGTATACCGCCCACCACAATATCAATATGCATATTTTCAATACCATACAATCCAATAATTGATTTATCACCCGGCACAGGTCCTGAAAATGGGTTTTAATTAAAAGAGCACAGCGTATAGATAAAGTTTAAATGAAAAACAGTTTGGAACTGTTGTGACGATATTTTTAATAACATGACATCGACGATACAAAACTATATCAGTATTAGTTTTGCCTGCAATCGTACATTAAAATATATCGTATATTAAAATACTCAACACTGGGTTTGGGAAATTTTTAAAATATAATATTCATTAAAGGGTAAATAAACGTCTTTTAACGGATTCATTATTGGTAAGATGCTTCTGAAGCAAAATAAAAAATACTTTTTAATTATATTATAGCAAATCCGGTGTAACTTTTAATACCTAAACAGAATTACAACTTTACGCCGGATTAATTAAACCTTTCCTGGTATTAGAAAGCGTACAGTACTTGCTTCCGGTTAATTACATAAAAATAAAATTATTACCAAGATGGGGCGGAACCCTTGGACACAATTCATTCTTTTCGTTTTCATAATTTTGAAAATAATCTAAAAGCCCGTCTTTAAGTTCTCTATTAGTTACGTTTTTGGCATTTTCACTGGTAATATTTTTGCCACAGATAACAGTATTTTGTAAAACTTGCTTGTTCCAGTCTATATTTATTGGTACCAGCTGAAAGTCTTCTGTTCTGAAATATTTTAAATCATGGGTTCTTGTGCAGACATAAAAGAGGACAAAAAACTTGACATACCTATACGTTTATGTAGTACAGTGTAAACTCTTTATAACGTCATTCGTTTATCATTGGTTTAACACAAAACCCATACTTTAATTCACTCTTTATAAAACAAACATACATTCTCTATTACGAAGAAATATTCTCATATTTAGACATGAACTTAAGTGTAATTGTTTTTATAATCAGCTTACAAAACTAACCTTTTGAGGTGCCTAACTCTTCGTTCTGTATAACGAAAACTCTCTATACCGAAAAAAAATGCTAGGTCCCTTGAAATTCGTTATAAGGAGTTTACATTGCATATCTACGTTTGAACCCCAAGTCTAACTTTCAAGTCATAATTTTCTCAACGTCCGGTGAAGGAAAATTGTAAGGAAATCACCGACGAATGCCTTTTCTAAAATCGACTTTTTACAATGACCTGGCAATACTTTCGTAGTTCCAACAATTATAATTTTGTTGTGTTGCGTGAACAACATACTGGTTAATAAGTTGTAAATTTGTTTGACGTCCTGGCGGACATAGAACTATGTATGGTTTGTGTTTCTACCACACTACTATAAACTCCTTTAATTATTAGTAATATAAATATATAATAAATATAATCTGAAGTCAAGGCCTAAGGGCTGTAGTTACCTACGTAACAGATGTAACTGAATTACAGTTTAGCAACTACACTATAATGTCAAAATCGCACGAAATGCTGTACCTTATGTTTAATAATAATAACAATAAATCGTTTATTTGCAAATAAAGTGGTACATTCCGGTTGATAAATTATAAAAAAACCGCACAAGCAGCCATATAAAATAGGCATGAAAAACTAGCGTAAAAATATAAACCTTATATAAACTCATTCATTCAGTTTGACTATCATAAAAAGTATGCTTTCATTCAAAATTATGGAACAGTGTTAATTTGTTTATTACACATTAATTATCATACAATCATTCACACGCTTTTTCATAACCGTAAATTAGGATAAAATGATTTGTCATAACTATTTATTACCAAGACACACGAAACTGAAACATTTAATAGCTTATAGTATATTATATTATGTTTATAGGTAGGAACATTTTTAACATGCCTAAGAAACAATCAATGCCCAATTTGGAGGTCTGGAGGGGCAACAAACTAGTGGAGGCCTTCAGCTTCCGAATTATTTTCCGAAAAAATAATAATAATTTTTTTTGTCGAGTTTAACCACAAATAATTTATTGTGAAACCAAGTACTATAGATTCTTTTATTATTAAAGTCTCTGTGGGGGACCCTCTTGCCGGGGCTGGAAACAATGAATGGATTATGGAAACCTTTAGTGATGATTTTGACCTGATATAAAATAGTAGAACATTTTTCGACTTAATAGTACATTCTTCATACATTCTTCTTCTAGTAAAGTACCCTAGAATTCGGTTAAAGACTTACTCATTTATATATATAAATCATTGTTCATTTTAAAATTTCCGCCATTTTTATTCGTGATGATGTAGTTAATTGTATATGAAGTGTGGTACATAAAACTTAATATCGCAGCAATTACAAATACAAGTACGATTCGCCGAGATTTATATTGTGTTTGAGACATTTTTCTTCACAGATGAATTATTCTTCAAAATTGAAGAAATTATATTACAATAAAAATATTATTTGTCAACGGTAAAATATAAATGGTCAATTGTTAATTTGACATAACCTCAGTACCATACTCTGTGTTAATTTAAGTCACCTAAACTTTAAAATAATAATTATTATTAGTTTAGTATTCAGTAATATAAAATAATTATTTAATATAAAATATTACAATTTATAAATGGTAAAAAGTATTTTAGCACAAATTTTACAATATTTTTCTTACGTTAGAGGGTAGTTTGAGATTTGCATTATTGCGTCAATTAAGTCAAGTGTCAAAAGTGTCGTAACACGACACATTGTCCATTTTTATTGGTTTTACAAAATTATTTAAGTATGCCGAAATACTATAGGTTCCGACCAAATACACGACCAAGAAACTTAAAAAGGAAAGAAAGAGAAGTCATGGAAGAGTAAGTACTTAACAATAATTCGAAATAATGTTTTCTAATAACAGAACGCAAACGTGAGTACTACAATTATAAAACTTCATTATATAAATGCTAATATAATTTAAATTTTGTGCATAACTCGACAGTTTCGAGGGATTTATAGCAGTCGTAATCTCCTACTGACCACGCCTGATGGTTACGAAGTTTTATTTGTATCTTTTTTGTTATACATGTATGTTTAGACCGCTGGTAGTTTTAATCTAATTTACAGAGAATTCGTATACATAATTAGAACGAACAATGCTAAGACGACAAGTTCTTATAGTGTCTTTCACGTATGTTATATATCTAAGAAAATTGATAGATTTCAAATATCCAGACCAGAATTTGTGCCTGTCACCTTCAGAATATACGTATCTCACGTTACAATATGAATGCTATTGTTATTGAATATAATCTTTAAAATAGTAACTTTTGTCGGCTAAGACATTCAAAACTAAAGCCACAACCTACTTATGTCTATTTTAAATCGACTTAAAAGATACGAAGGGTTCTATCTATACGGCGTTTTTTCAAATAACAAACTTAAATCTAGTTTTAAGAACCGTTATACCATGTTTGTATAAATAATTTTTTGACAAAGCTCACGATATGATTGTGACTCAAATACGATTCGAAATCTTATATATATGTCATCATTTATATATATTTTAACGTTATAGTACTGAAATGTTCGAATGTACACTTTTTGGATATTTTGTGGCCACACAAATTCAAGCGGCATCGCAAAGCTAGTTTTATACTTTTTAAGGAAAGTGACACACAAGCACGCACTTACAAATGTGCTTTCCGCCCATGGACACCCTGGACGACAAGTAGTTCGCAGGATGTTCGCGCTCTTTTCTTGAAGACCCCAAAATTGTATCAGCATGATTATTGACAGCTACCTCAAAGTGGAGTGCCGCAGAAAGTGCCTTAAAAAGCGCTTTGTTGGAGCATCAAAGAGACCCCAAAAGAGTCTCCCATCCGCACGGTCGACGCTGGCCGCGTGCGGAAAGCCCCGGGCTTACGCGGCGCCAGCGCAACGTTCTTTACGAACAAGTACTATCGAATACATACAACTAGCCGGCCATCGCTAGCCGTCACGCGACGCCGACGTCGCGTCGACGCTGTGCGGCCGCTGACACGACGACGACGCTCGGAAGACGCTAGTGTGGGGGGTCTCTAAATGTCCATGCTTATAACCTCGAATTTATGATTTTATGATACTTCTTATAACAATTTTTTTCAGACGATTATTTGGAGTACACAAGGAGTGGTTTGACTTGATACCAACGCCAGTGAAATGTTGGTACCTTCGACGCATTGCTTGGCGCCATCCACTCTATACGTACGTTGCACTCTGCAAAAGCTATTTGTGGTCGATCTACATGCAATGCGAATTGGTGATCGTTCTGTGACGCCCGATTAAGATTCTTCGGTCTTTTGGTCGATTATTTGTAAATTGTCAACGTCTTCATCTACACTGTTTTGGTAGGAAAATTGTATGTTTTGACAATTGACTTGTAAATATATTTTTTATAAAATGTAATTGTTTTTTTGTTTTATTCTGTATGTTTAGTTGGTATGTAGTGTATGTTATTAGACACTCAGAGTTACTATGAAATATTTCTTAAAATCTGCTAATAATCAGTGAATTTTTGATTTCTTTTCTATCAAATTGGTACAACAATGCTACTGGTTAAAGTATTTACGTAGCAGCGTTTGCCCTATGAGACTCTCTTCCTTGAGATTTCCTTTCTATACCCACAGTATACATATCTGGAAAAGTAGTTTTTATATAGAACGGGGCAAACGGGCAGTATGCTCACCTGATGTTAAGTGATACCGATCAATGCTCAGAGGGCTTATAAGATTGCGTTGCCGCTCTTTTTTCTTGAAGGATATATTTAGCATATTCAGAAATCAAAATTTGTAAACAAAATCAACGCTTCATTAGGGCGTTACCAGACATCGAATATTTATCGCAAATCCGTACGGAAATAATAGAAAATTATTTGATTTTATTCCATCATTCATTTTATCAGCGTCTAAAAATTCAGAAAATAAATTTCTATTGAATTAGGAGAAAATATGGCAGCCACCGTTAATTAAATTGAGTGCTAGTAAACAGCGGGAAAAACTGCAATAAGACGTAAATGCAAACACAGGCATATCGATTTAATCACTCCGATGGGAGGTTTGAAAGGCTTGTATCGTGTGTATGTTAAAACTACCTAAGTTACGGAAAATTACACTTACAGAGTAAGGTATATACAGTGTAATGTACCGCAAGCGTGCCGAAAGAATAAAGCATAAAACGCTCATTGTGAAATGAAATAATAGGACCGAAAGTGGCAACATTACTTTTTTTTAAATTTATTTATTAGCCGGATACAAAGTCCATTGGCACAACATTATTTAGTTGGTAAGAATGATGCCACTTTAGTTCTCTATAGCTATTTCACAATTGTAGTCGATTTCAACTTTTGCGGTCCAATTATTATTTAAGTGTTGCCCTACGTTCGCCATAGTATTTATAAACTTGTGAGGCGCAATTGTAAATGATGCATTTTTAAATCAACCTCGGTATTGTATGACTATTTGAACAGCCCTTGAAGAATAAAAAACCCTCCTTTTTAATAAAACCATAGCATAGTTTCCTTTTAGTGCCACTCAAACTCATACAATGTTGATTTATTTGAAGTCAGATCACATTAGGCATTCAATATTTTTCATCAATGACAAACCTTTATCGTTTAAGTTCCCACAGGTCTTTTTTAACATGCTGAGCAAGAAAATTAGAGTGCATTAGAAAATGTTTTAACTTTACTAGATTACGACACTATATTAATTGATATTTCGCCTATATTGTGGGATAATGGTCAGTTAAAGTTGGTTGACAACAAGGCACCGTTTTAATCGAATCTGTGACCCAAATATTGCTATATTTTTAAGGAATTTGGCGCATATCCAAACTGCGAATAATGCGACTGGAATTAATTGCATAATATTATATAAAACGACCCGTAAGGGGCCGTTCAAGTATTAAGTGAGCACTATAGGGGCAGGGGGGTGTTTGATTTTCATATTTAGTGATTACGTTAATAGTAATTATTTTCTTTTTTACACGTCATATTACCCACACATTGTCTATGCTTGAAAACGAAATGCAATTTCGAGGATTCCTATAAAAAATAATACGATTATGTACTATTATTTTTGCTTATTTTTGCTGAAAAGAGGAGAGGTGTGGGAGGGGGGTAATTGCAGTAAATCTGCTTACGTAATACTTGAGCAGCCCCTAAGCCGCAAATTACGAAGAGGCAGATACATATCTGCCGCGGTTTCCTCTAAATGACTATGATCAAATCACTTGCAATCTCACTATACCCAGCGCGGTGGTCCATTACGAGTCTCCGGTCTCCGGAGCTGGTGAAGTAAGTTCACAAGTTAAATCGATAATTTACAGTAGGTTAGCTGTTATTTTGCATTCACAATTATTCTTCTGTGCCAAATATTAATCGTATTTATTCAGTGGCTTCACCGATCTTAATTATAGCATGAGGGCAGGGGCGGATCTACATAAGGGCTTTTTGGGCGACAGCCTAGGGTCCCAATGAATACAAGGGCCCCAAGTCCTCACTGAAAACCATTGGCGATATTTTCAGTTAAACATTGGTATCCCTGGGAACAGGGTGTCTCCTCGTCTCTTGTTTTCGGCCGATGTATTTTTGCGCCTGTGTGTCTATGACGGGAGACTTCCTTCAGCCCCAATCACCCCCCGCGGCTGGGTTTCTTCTCCTTTTCACTCTGTTGTGGTTTTTCTCTTCGGTTTCTCTTTCTTTTTTTTTTTTTTTTCAGGAGCTTTTTTTTGTTTATCGGACTGCCAAATCATAAAATGACTCCCTCCGCCCAGAGTCCCAGAAATTCACGATCAGCCCAGGCATGAGGGTATACTCTGTTCACTTCACTTGGCTATGTGGTTGTGGAGGGAGAAATCGTCGACATCAGTTGAATTATTAAAAATATAAACGATTGTTTTGTCAGGAATCAAACCTTTCAGATTAAACGCCATATGCGTAACGAAGTAAGCCTCCATCTCAGTATATAAGCTTCTTATTTACTTAATCCCCTATTGTGTGTGTAAACAGTCAAATATAAAGGATATTAAACCACATCCAAGCTATTGGCCTTTTATGAAAACCGCAAATGTGTGTAATAAATTTGAATCGACATTCCCATTTGAGTTTCATTCAGAGAGTATGTTTAGGTCAAAGGACAGAACGACAAAAGGAGATTATCCTTCAATAATAATTGTTCTAGTTAATCAAGTACAATGAAGCACCTCTTTTATATTATTAAATAAAAAATAATCTTCATGATTTCTCAATAATTTTGTAGTTTTATTGAGGCTATGTATGTGTAAGAGCGTAGAACTAAATAAACGTGACAAAACATTATAGAACTAATTATTTAGGTCACATTTCAATTACAGATCGGGCAAGGTTGGTGGCTGTAGGGTCTAGGGAAGCCGGTCATTGGATTAATGCTTATTATATAAGAGGCCCATATGTACTCCCCATAAGTGTGACTTTGAAGTAAGTAGCCTTGGACACCATGGTCTACATTGCCAAAAGAGTGCAGGTCGTTTTTCTCGCCACGCCGCGCTCATCAACATTATACGTCGCTCTCTTGCCTACGTCAACGTTCCAGCCATTTTGGACCCAACAGGCATCGCAAGAGACGAAGACAAGCGGCCGGATGTCGTTGATCCTTGGAAGATTGGTTGGGCTTTGGTATGGGATGCTAATTATACATGTAAAAAAAGGGGGCGGCCGTAGAGCAGGCAGAAAATAATAAACGGCTCAAATAGAAGTATTTCCTCCAACTTCGATTTTGTTTCCTTTGGAGTAGAGACTCTTGGGCCGTGGGTTCAAGTGCACAGGCGCTAATTAAAGATTTAAGTTGGCGCCTGGTAGATAGTGCTGGTGACCCCAGAGCTGGTGCTTTCCTCGCGTCCGTGGAAATGCTGCCAGCGTCCACTAGCTCAGGTTGATTTTAAATTTGTTTTAATTTTCTTTTTATTATTACTTTGTAGGTTAATAATATTGTATGTACTGTATAATAAAAATATATTACTCCAGATCCGTAATCTGGGATAATAACGAAAAAAAACTTGTTAAAAGCGGAAAAAAAAGAAATTCTGTATCACTTGTGTGTCATTAAAGCCGGGACCACATTTGTAGCATATTGACGTATCACGATCAGTCGTATCGTATCTAGTATCTGTATCATAAATATGGACGCTCATTTTGTCCATGTCGTATATTTAAGGCGTATCTTGTAAAAAACGCGTCCATACTTATCAAATGCTGTATCATGTCAGCTGTATCGGCTTTAACTTTACAAATATAGACGCGTTCACTTTTCTCTTGTCCGATGTATGAGGAGATGCGCGTCGTTTCAGTGCGACCTTTCCCTCTCTCCCCCCCCCCGCAATGTTCAGTCATGTCTTCGTTCCCAAACGGTTTAACCATGTCAGCAATTGCTCACAAGTTTGGCGGGTGACTAGCGCCTGTTATATTATCATTAATAGTATTTTAAAAAAGTTAAATCTAGACGTAGACGGCGCTGGAAGTGTTTAGAAACCGAAACAAACATGGTGGAATACCATTGATGCGAGATTTAAAATTTCAGTAAACCAGCGGAAAAAAAAAAATTCACTCGCATGTCACCCATTGATGTTGTGTATTCCCTTTGATGATCGCGAAAACCCCCCAGGATGGTTCGCGTGTATCAAGATCGTATCGCGATACAGTACGTGAGTACAGTATCAAAATACGTCCATACCACCGATCGTGATACGCCCGTATCGGATACGAGGTGTAT